TTACTCTGCGGCCCTTGTGGGTGCTGAGGCTGCGAGCTTGGACTAGTCGCGACAATTGAAAAGGGTAGTTTGCAATATCGATTGGGCTGCAGGTGAACCCTAAAACCTAAGATCAACACATAGCTAACCCCTAACCCAACACCCTTGAAGGCTAATAAAACACCAAAACCGAAACCCCAAAACCTTGACCCCTGACAGGCCCTAGCACCAAACCCAAAACCCCAAACCCGAAACCCCAAACCCGAAACCCCAAACCCGAAACCCCAAACGCCCAACCCTGAACTCCCGGAAGCCCTAAGCCCATAACACGCGAAGAGGACTTTGGCTCGCACAGTCGGGGCTTAGACTGCGAGTGCCGGGGAGATCGTGACTTGCTCGGAGCCCTGGCATCTCTATGGTTATGATGGTTTTTAGGATGTACTATATTCAACATACCGCCCCAAAACCCATTCCGAGTACAAAGGCCCATATGGGAGTTTCCGAACAAAGGGGACCCTAACTTAGTACCCTAAATAGAGGGATCCTTATTATAGGGACCCCAAAATAAGGTACCCCTAATTCTCGGAAACTCACATATCCTCGTAAGTAATGTAGGGGCCCCAGTAACCGATATTGAAAATGAAAGAACAATGACGATACTCGCAGTTCGAAACGTTCTGGCAAAGGGCACACCCAACTGCCACTGCAAAGCTCTAGAACCCATCAGAGGCTGTGATTCAAAAGCGCGCCTTCGAATCTCGGACAACCGATACTTGCAGCCCTCCCTCCGAAACAAAGCAAACTAGTGTAGGGGCCTTAATAATTCGAATAGGGTTTTGGGGCCCATTATGCTATCACTATAATAAGGAACCCCCAAACTAGTATTGGTAGATATTCAGGCCCCTTTAGTACCAAGCCCTGCCTCCGCAAAACGAGGCCCAAGCCAGGGCTGAAAGGAGCCGAAATCGATTGCGGGCGCGCCGCGCTCGTCAAGCTCAACACGACTTGCTGCTGTCAGGGGGTTTAGGGTTTAGGGTTTCCATGATGATAAAAATCCTGTGTTCGTCATGATGACTACTATCATGACCATGGCTCTGATGCCTCTGATAATGGCCATCATGAACCATGAAAGCTCTGGTGATGACGAAGGCGATGACAACAACAGGGTTTCGCCACAGCAGGGCGCAAGTACTTGGAGATTGGGGATTCTCGACTTTGAAGTTCGAAGTGCCGCACCCTGCAGAATCACCAGACTGCGCCCGGGGGAGGCGGACGAGAACCCGAACCTTTGGGCTAGGAATCTTGGAATTTTGGCCTGCTGGGAAGTTGGATCATGGCAGGAAGCATCATGAAGCCGTGGACCCTTGTGCTTTTAGCCACAGCACGTTGCCTGTCGCTCAAATCGCTCAAAACGGCACCCGCGTAGCTCGGGGCGCAGGGAAGCAAGTGGAGTCGGAGACCGGGCTAGCCACCCGGGTGGTCTCAGAGTTTAGGGTTTAGGGTTTAAGGTTTAGGATGTAGGGCTTTGACAGACGATGAGAGTCTTGTGGCTTCGAGTTCTGCCGTTTTTCACAAGTGGCCTACTTGGATCTCTCCATGGGCAATTATAAGTAGGGCAATAAGTCCCGTAATATGGGTTATGAATATAGCTACCCTACTTATAACAATTACACCTGGACCAAAACCAGTCCATCACTAAATCCTACACCCTAAACGCCCGAGTATGGCCTCCCGTCCACCCCACCCACTTCCGGACGCGCTGAAATATAGGATGGGCCGTGTCGGCCCAGGTTGAGTCTCCTTTTTCAAGGGGCCCTTGCATGGAGACTCCAGAAGAGGGACTGCAATGAGGGGAGGAGCAGGTCGAAAGGCTTCTAGTTTTGGGGCCTCGGGTTTTGGATCTTTCTGTGGGTAACAACTTTAGGGTAGTTGGGGCATGTGGTTTTAAGACCAGGGTTTGGCACATGTGCTTCAGGCTCCTCGCTGGTGAGCAGACTGGAGTGCCGGTAAGACCGCGCAAGTTCAGCGCCTAGCTTTTGACCACCACAATCACGCCTTGAGCACAACCGAACCTCAACACCTGAACCCTCATTCCGTGAAGCGGAACTATGTCCGAAGAACCTGGGTCCCCATTTGGGGTCTCCTTTCAAGGGCCCACTGGTCTCTGCGAGGAAGGTTTTGAGCTCCATACTGCGCTTGATTTGTGGTATCGTCTTATCTATAGTAAGGTGTACCGTGTTCGAACGAAACCTTCGGTACCCGGCTCAAAGTTCAAAGTTAGCATAGCATTCAGAGGATTGGAGGAATCGTAGACGTTCACCCCCGCCTCACGCATTCTAGTGGCCCGGTGGGTAGTAGTAGGCGTCGTCGTCGTCGTAGTAGTAGTGGTGGTAGTAGTAGTAGTAGCAGCAGCAGTAGTAGTAGTAGTCGTCGTAGTCGTAGTAGTAGTCGTAGTAGCAGTAGCAGTTTCGGTAGCAGTAGCAGTAGTCGCAGTGGTGGTGGTGGCGGTGGCGGTAGTAGTAGCACTAATACTTGTCGTAGTCGTTGTCGCTGTTGTTGATGTAGCAGTAGAGGTGGGAGTCGTCGACATCGCCGTCGTATTCGTAGTGGTACCAGTACAACTACCAGTAAAAATCCACATCCTTAAATCGCAGTCGAAAACGGAATCGTCGTCGGCGTTGCAGCCGTAGCAGCAGCAGTAGCCGTAGCCGTGGAAGTAGACGTAGTCGCAGTGGCGGTAGTCGCAGTAATGGCTCTAGCAACGCTTCAGCAGTAGCTGTAGTCCCGCTCGAGTCTACTCTCTAGTCCTCGCAGCACCTCGGTCCCTTTTGCTGCGTAGCCCAAGAAAAGGATCAGCTTCTGGTTGAGCGAAGCGGAATGGGTTTAAGCTTCAGGGCACTTTGCGGAGGCCCCGAAACAGTTGACGGCTCTTGGGTTGTGGAAAGGTGCAGCAGCACACTTGGACTAAGTTATGACATGCAGAAGTGCTAGTCATCTCATCGATACTGTCCTTCTCTTACGAGAACTCTGTCTTTACCTAAACTGGGACACTATCAACGCACGTTGCAATTAGAATTTTCTCAGAGAGATGAGCTATATAATATACCCGCAGATACTTTTTTCGTGCTTGGGCTATGCCGCAGCTCCTACAGCAGCTACGTTAGCCTTCACTCGACTGCGAGTAAAGGCCGAGAGGAACCGCCTTGATGAGCAGATCCTGAGATCCAAACACCGATCGGAGGGGTACTTGGAGGTTCATGGGTAGCTATAAGTGGGGTTATAAGTCCCCTAATATGGGTTATAAGTATAGTTACCCTAGTTATAACCCTAGTTAAAGGTACCCCTGAATCTCCAAGGTACCCCTGCATACTAAACTTTGAAGAATAGGGGACCCTAATATTGTACCCTAAATAGTGGGATCCTTATTACATGGACCCCAAAAATAAGGAACCAATGTTCGGAAACTCCCAGGTAGGTCGTAAGAGCATCGTCTGACAGCTCGGATCAGAGTCAGGGTGCAACTTACAAGGGTTGTTACTGCTTCTTAGGGCATAGGGTTTAGATGTTTAGGGGTTTAGGGTTTAGTGCTTCTTGTTACCACTTATTCGCTTCCTTCTGCTGCTGCTTCTAGTTGCTGAGGCTCCTCGTGCTGCTACCACAGCCTCTCCTACTTCGACGATAGTGACGACGACTACTACTGGTACTACTGCTACTACTCTCAGTCGCAGAACTGGAACAATAGCCAGTAGCAACATGAAAACCTGTCGGTCACAGCAGTAAGTATCCGGATTCTACTACTCCACTTATGTACACCTAGGTAGTTAACGCAAGATACTCACAATGTCACACTGTTCGGAGAATTAATTACGAGACAAAACTGTGCATACCTTCCCGAAATGGCCGAACCGGGGTCCTCGACCAACCCCCTGAACCCAGATTCCTCATCCCTTGTTCCTAAACCTATAGATCCCTTTAAAGGACCCCTTATAGATCCCTTTAAAGGACCCCTTCTAGATCCCTTTAAAGGACCCCTTCTAGATCCCTTTAAAGGACCCCTTTATAGATCCCTTTCAAGGACCCTTGTAGTTACCTTTGTTCCACGTCCTTCAACCGACCATCCCAATCCTAAGCTGGGCTTACAACTCCGAGCCACAGTCCCCAAAACACCCATTACGGAAGAGCAAAAGCAGAAACCACAGTCATAATAGTACAAGTAGCAATGGTGGTGGTAGTAGTAGTAGTAGTAGTAGTAGTAGCAGTAGCAGTAGTAGTAGTAGTCGTAGTAGTAGTACTAGTAGTACTAGTAGTAGTAGTAGTAGTAGTAGTAGTAGTAGTAGTAGTAGTAGTAGTAGTAGTAGTAGTAGTAGTAGTAGTAGTCGTAGTAGTAGTAGTAGTAGTACGTAGTAGTACTAGTAGTAGTAGTAGTAGTAGTAGTAGTAGTTCGTAGTAGTAGTGGTAGTAGTAGTGTAGTAGTAGTGTAGTAGTAGTAGTAGTAGTAGTAGTAGTAGTAGTAGTAGTAGTAGTAGTAGTAGTAGTAGTAGTAGTAGTAGTAGTAGTAGTAGTAGTAGTAGTAGTAGTGGTAGTAGTGGTAGTAGTCGTCGTAGTCGTAGTAGCAGTAGCAGTAGCAGTAGCAGTAGCAGCAGTAGTAGTAGTAGTAGTCGTGGTGGTGGTGGTGGTGGTGGTGGTGGTGGTGGTGGTGGTGGCGGCGGTGGTGGTGGTGGTGGCGGCGGTGGTGGTGGTGGTGGAGTAGTGGCAGCAGTAGTAGTAACAGTAGCAGCATCAGAAGCAGCAACAGACAGAATCATCATGGCATAGAAACGCTGTTCCTATTAATAACATCACCGTCAGCATCATAACATCTCAGATACTAACTGCCGATTACAACAATGCCCAAAATCGATTGTAGTTAGTTAGGGCTCTATACTAATAAACAATAAGGGGAATTTAAACAGAATATACCAAACCGATACCTAGTATGAAGCACTCAATCAGTGACAAGCCAGGGCTCAAAACCGCCGTGCTTAGAGGTAGAAGAGAGTGCGCTGAAGCGACGGATGGGGCTCCTTTCTGGACAATCTTATCCAGTCCTACTCATTTAGGGTTTAGGGTATCCTTTGGTCCTGAGGCTGACTCTGACAAACCCGGAAACCTTTGAAACGATAAAGAAAGACTCTAAATCCTACAGTCTGGGACACTCAACTCCTTTTATTTTCCCAAAGCCCGAAGAAATCCTGAACCCTGGAGGGCATCGGGTTTGCGTTGAAGTGGGGGGGATTTCCATCGGCCTCTAGACCAAATATGGGAGCCTCCATCAATGCCAGAGGGCTTTGGGATTTTTTCTACATCTTACGGACTACGAAAGTCATACTCAGTAGCAACGGAATCCAAAACCCTAAGCTGTAAGGTTCAAGGTTGTCAAAAGCTTTCTGCTTTTGGTCTTTGGGCTGTGTCGGGCCATGGCTGTCTGCTGTTGGATATCATTTAATTGAAACCTTGAAGGATTTAGGGTTTGGTGAATTAGGGAATTAAGGGCTTAGAGATTTCGAGTTTTTGGATTTAGTGCTAAGGTTTTGAAAAGCACCTCCAAATCTGGCAAAGCCTGTAAATCCCTCAACCTCGAATCGCCACCCCTTCCAAAATTCCTGGAAAGATGCCCGCAAGCCCATATAGTAAATGCCAAGCTCCGATCCTACGGTTGATGATATAAATCCTGCATGGCCCATAATCGGGAATATACCATAATTTCCACATATTCCTTATTATGGGGTAATGCCGGATTTATACCATTAACCGCATTAGCCTTCAGTTTTGAAATTTGCACTCTTCATCGAAACCCCTCAACACTCAAACCCTGAAACTACCAAAAGGACCCCCTGCTCCAAGCCCCAAGCACGAAGCCCCGAGAATGCTTGAGCCAAAAAAATGAGATCTTCTGTAAAGACACAAAAAGGTGCAACACCTCTGAAGTCCAAGACGCTGGCAAACCCAGATGAATCGTGCCCCAGTGCAACCCCAAATCCTGTCCAATTCTTGTGGCCCTGTACTGTAAAGTCCATAAGCCACTTGGAAACCGAGTACAAACGGATTGAAAGCTACCAAATTCTAAGCCTTTCGAGATCTAGCAAGCAAACACAGGACTCAAGACCCCACAATCCAAGTGTTCAGTTCAGACCCTAAACCCTACCCTGAACTACCAAAACCTACTACTTTCTGTAGGTTCACCATAGATTCTAAAAGTAGGTTCTGGTGGCTTACGGTAATGTAGGGACCTTAATAATTAGAATAGGGGCCCATTTTACCACGTTTAAAATTGGGAACACTCAAAATAGTATGGGTAGTTGTTGAGGCCCCTCTAGTAAATCCTTATAATAGCCCTTATAGATCCCTTTGAAGGAACCATATTTAAATTGCTAAGGCCCCTATAGTAAACCTAAAAAACGTCTCCCAAACAAAGGCCTTTCGGATCACGCTGCCCACGAAGGACGCGAGCTTCTTCGCGTAGACCACGGGGGCCGGCAGACGGACCTTACTCGGGGGTTAGGGCTTAGGGTTCAGGGTTTAGGGTTTAGGATGGAGGGCTTTGGGTAGGGTTCATGGGTAGTTGTACGTGGGGTTGTAAGTCGGGTAACAGTACTTATAACATATAACGCATATTAGGGGACCTCTACCCCACTTCAACCTACCCATGAACCTTCGAGTACGGGCTGAGATTAGGGTTTAGGGACCGTTGTTTCGCGCGTAGGCACCTTAAGGGTTTAGCTTGAGGTTTTGGGTTTAAGGCTGGTTTCTATGTCAGATGTTTTGTGGAGGGGGACGTGTGGGGTTTAGAGGGCTTTACACTGCTCTTCTGAAGGCTTCAGCAGCTTTGGTTTAGGCTCAGAGGGCTGTGTCTGCAGGGCTGAGTGACGTGCTATGCGGGTTGATGGTGCCAGGGGTTTAGGGTTTCTGACCGTGTCTTACATGGTTCTAGAAGGGCTTCTGGGTGCTTGGTGCTATCAAGTATGTGGCTTCTGATCACAGCCTTGCGAAGCTGGAAATCATGCGTAGGAGTTTTGGAGCTCACCGTGTTCGCAGGACACAAAACTGCGGAGTGTAACTCGGGGTGAGGGCCGGGACAAACGAAGCTGTAGATCCGAGCTGGAAACAACTTCGGTTTGGTCCTGAAAAAAGCCATCATTCTGTACAAAAACGACCGAAACCCTCATCAACTCGGATCTTGGCGGCCACTGCTGCGGTGTAGTACATCAAGCAGAGCCTGTGCTCTCTGCGGCGGACGGAGGTGTCGCTCGTCACCATCCAGCGGTGCGGGTTGGAAAGCTTTCGGTTGTCGGAGGCTCTCGTTTGGTTACTTAGAGGATCATGGGACTTAGTAAGTAGGTTATAATTGGGGTTATAAGTCCCCTAAGTGGGGTTATCCTAATTATAACCTACTTATAACCTTACTTACTAAGTCCCATGAGCCTTCAAGTACAGGAGTTGGGAGGTTTAATCTTGGCAGTTGTGTTGGCTTTCAGGGTGCTGGGGGCCTAGTTTAGTTGGAAGAGGAGCCGCTGCATGCTGCTTTCTATGGGAACCCCCTTACAGGATCTGCTTTTGGGATCTTCCCAGGGGTGTGGGTGTAGAACACATGCAAAACCATATCGCAGCCTCAAAACCCAATGGCTCACTGAGGCTGAGCAGTCTAGAGCCTTGTCAGCTCTTTCAAACCCACCAACCCGAAAGCCCAAACCCTGACTGTGTCCAAAATCCAGAACCTATGTAAAGCCCAAGACCCGACACCCTACCCCAACCCTAAAGTTTCTTCGAACCCCAACCCTAAAGTTTCTTCAAACCCCAACCCTAAAGTGCCCTAAAGTTTCTTCAAAGTGGTCTTCCGCAGTCAAGAGGCTTTCAGCAAGCACTCTCTCAGCTAAGGGGTCTCAGGGTTTATGCGGGGTCTAGGGATCAGTGTCAGGGTATACGGTTTAGGGCTGCATGTTAGGGTTGTGCAGTTTAAGATATTAATAATAGTATTACTATTAGTATGAGTACTGTATTAGTATTAGTATTAATATTAATAAAAAGGTCATAAGGCCTAGACCTATAGAAAGCATCAGAAGTCTTCAACACCGCGCCTGTTCGTCAAATTCTGAAGGAATTCCAGTGAGTGGTTGGCAGGGTTGGCGAAGACCTGAGCACATAACCCGAAACTGGCCCCAAACCTTGACAACGAAATGTTCTGTTGAAAAAAGGCATGCTTGAGCTTGACCAGCTCAGGACCGCTTTCAAATTTCAAGGGTGGTGCGGCTTTGGGGTGTAAAACATGCAAGTCTCGGTGCTGCACGAGCCGGGCTGCTACAGTCGATTTGGGCATGGGGTGTGTTAAAGTTAAGTACACGGAAACCAGCCAAGCAATGCTCGGCTTTTTATGCAAAGACCAGGTGCAACAGCGCAACTGGCACCTTCTCCGCTTTAGGTTTCGTCTTGAAAGTAATTGTAGCCGTGCGGCTCTGTGAAACCTGCCAACCTGTCAGGAAAGACCCTGATAGACTTCCGCGAAGACCTCGTCTTACTAATTACCTATACTAGTTTGGGGTTTGCTTACAAGGCTATAATTTAACGGGCCCCCATCGTCTCGTTACTACTACTACTACTACTACTACTACTACTACTACTACTACTACTACTACTACTACTACTACTACTACTACTACTACTACTACTACTACTACTACTACTACTACTACTGCTACTGCTACTGCTACTGCTACTGCTACTGCTCCTGCTCCTGCTCCTGCTCCTGCTCCTGCTCCTGCTCCTGCTCCTGCTCCTGCTCCTGCTCCTGCTCCTGCTCCTGCTCCTGCTCCTGCTCCTGCTCCTGCTCCTGCTCCTGCTGCTCCTGCTCCTGCTCCTGCTCCTGCTACTGCTACTGCTACTGCTACTGCTACTGCTACTGCTACTGCTACTGCTACTGCTACTGCTACTGCTACTGCTACTGCTACTGCTACTGCTACTGCTACTGCTACTGCTACTGCTACTGCTACTGCTGCTGCTGCTGCTACTGCTACTGCTACTGCTACTGCTACTGCTGCTACTTACTGCTACCCGCTACTGCCACTACCACTACCGCTACCGCTGCCGCTACCGCTGCCGCTACCGCTGCCGCTACCGCTACCGCTACCGCTACCGCTGCCGCCGCTGCTGCTGCCTCTGCTACCACTGCTAATTACACGTATTCCGTAATGTTACTGCGACTGCACATCCAGGAAGCCGCTCAATAAGTTGCGCTGCTGACTCAGCTATACACAGTATACCGGTTTAGGGTAACCAGACGACGCCAGCAATGCACCGGCCGAAACAAGACAGACGACTGACCCGAAGCCACAAGAAACCTCAATCACGTTATGCAAATCATGAAGGCAGGCAAACGCGCAGCCAGGCATCCCAACATCGACAAACATTCAACAAGCTGATCGCCGAACCCCGTGAGCTCTCTAAACCACCAACGCCAACCCTAAACTCTAAATGCTAGCTAAGCCCAAAACCTTCAATCCTATCCTAAAAAGTCTAAAAGCCAAGCTTAAACCCTCAGTCCGGAACCTACCCTAAAAGTCGAAAAGCTCAACCTAACCCTCAGTCCTGAAACATCGGTGCTTTGAGAGCTGGACTGAAAAATGCGCTGGGATGGCCGAGCCCTTCAAGATGGCCTGAGGAACGAGTATGGGAGTTTCCGAAAATTAGGGGTACCTTGCCGTATTTTGGGCTCCTTATTATAAGGATCCTAGTTATATTCGGGTCCCCTATTTTCGGAAACTCCGAGTACTGTGAGAATACTCATCCTCATTTCTTATGGCTATGACAACTAATATTAGAACTATAACTGCAAGGTATCTCACTACCATGAGGGGTATTAGAACTACTGGATCATTGGAACTGCTTAAGATGAGTTTTATAACGGTGGGTAGAACTATAAGCTATAACATGGTTCTGATTCTTATTACTACAACGGCTATTAGAAAGTAGAAGTTATATCATGGTTCTGGTTAATTGATTCTTATTACTACAACGGCTATTAGAAAGTAGAAGTTATATCATGGTTCTGGTTAATTAATTGAGATGATGATTCTTATTGACTCTGCCTGTTTGAGGATTTCGGTCTACAACAGGTAAAGAAAATTGTCCTGTCCGGGTCGAGGCTCACATGCCCAAAACAGCATAGCATAGCGTCTCAACAAGAATCAAAGCATCCTGTGATTTACTCGTCTCTTTGTAGCCGGGTTGGTCGCTAACCCCACAGGAAGTTGTAGATTAGGACCTCAGAATTCAAGCAGAGGACTTGGACTTTCTGAAATGTATTCCATGCAAGCCCTACTCTCTGCTTGTGCACTGTGGCTCTACACTAGCTGTGAGGCGTGAAGGCCTCCAGAGTCAGTGCGGCTAAGGCTTTGAGCATCGACTGCTCGTGAGCTAGTACAGGATCCTACCCCATAACCTGTGCCTGCCCGGAACACTCCGGACAGTGTTGCTTCATCGCAGGGTTCAGACTTCGGGGTTGAGGTTTACCAGACATGATGTTTCAAACTTGAAACCAGAGGTCCCACCAAACCCCAATAGTTCGACTTGCGAAGGGCACGCTCCTAGAATAGCTGGCAAGAGCGCCATGTTACAGCGACACTGACTGCGCGGCATCGAAGACCGAGAACAACCTAGAGTCCCAGCCCTAAGCCCTAAACCGTAAACCCCCTCAGATCTATAACATTTACTATATGAAGTTATGTACTGTATATAATACATCATATTGCCCTGGACCTCGAAAGCACGAGCCTGGCTGATCAAGTAGAAGTTTGGAACATCTCCAGCGCAAACGGCAGGATCATCCACAACAGTTCCTCCCAAAGACACAGTTTGGTAACAACGCGAGGCGACCATAACCTAGCAGTGACCGAGCCGCATGATCTCATAGTCCTTGCGATTTGTTACGGCCTCGCTATGCAAAGGCCATAAGGCATTGCAAGGCGACAAACACCAAACTAACAAACACACAAAAGACTGACCCCTCTGGTCTAAGAAGCCCTTGAACGTCTTAAACCCGAAAACCCAAGAAACAAGCTCTCTCTGAACCCTGGGGCACACTGCCCCTGAACCCTAAGTTTCCTCCCGCTCCATAAAAAAAATGATTCCAAAGAAAAGCTGATAGAATCCGACGAGGAAAACCCCTTATGGAAGCCATGAAACACACATAGAACCCTTCATAACCCATCTAAAACCCTCCCGCCCATACGAGAAAACGCTTATACACAAATATAAGTTCAACCCTACACCCTGGACCGTAGGCCCTCAACCGTGAAGTTCCCTGCGTGCCCCCCCCTCAAAAGCATGCCTGGCTCGGGGTTCTTGCAGGCAGGGTCGCCTTCACCTCAGAAGCTGCCAGCTTTACGGGAAGCTCTGGCACTGAAAGGCCGTAAGCTTCGCTACCGCTTTTTATGATGATTACCACGTTTCCATATTCTTAGCGGTCGTGAGACAATAATATTGCGTTTGCTCTGTCGCAACGAATTGTCTTACAAATTGCACTTCCAGGATGAGGGTCATCACGACGATGATGGTGCATGATGATCACGAGATCCAGGTTTGCCGCTGCTTCTGCTCCCCACTGCTAGCCGCGAACACTAGGAACATACTGTGACACAGTTCCTGCCGGCGATGCCACCGGCACTACTGTGCCAGCTGATGTAGCTTGAGCTCGTCTTGTTTTTTTCTCTGGCAGTCACTGTCGGTTCATGCACGCTTGGAGTTGGGCTTGGAAGAAATTCAAGTCAGTGCAGGCGACGTGCTTTAAAGCAAGCTGCTGCAAAAGGATGTACTAGTACTAGAGTGATCGGCGAGAAGCTCGCAGAATGCAATAGACATCCTTCGTATCTGAATAATCCATCGGTTTGCTCATTCCGAACCTGGGAAGAGGATGAGGAGAACGATGATGATGTTGATGAAGGGGCGATCATGATGATGATGACGACGATGATGAGAATGATGAAGAACAAGAAGATGGCGATAACGGTAACGGTGATATTCATGATGACCCAATGACCATGTTTCTAATGATGCCGGCGAACAGTGAGGTTTATTGATATGCTTGCCATTCTGACAAACAAGCTCTTGCTCCTGTTGCGGCTACTGTTGTTGGTCGTGCAAGCAATGTTGAGTGGTTCACGACATGCTTTCCGACGTGAGCTGCTCAAACAACAGGATCTGTTCTCGCGATCCTGGTACAACAGAGGGAAGCTTTTGAACACGATTGCTTGATCTTGCGCCAGCGTACGGCACCGAGACAACAGACTCTTCTTAACCTTGACGCTGACGCTGCAAAAGCCCGGCCGTAGAGATTATGGTTTCAGGGTTTCGGATTCAATACTTTCCAAATGCTAGATTCCCGAAGCTCTGAAACCTTGCATATGCTGTTTGTGCCAAGGTATGGCATCAACCCACAAGCCAAAAACTAAGGTATCTGAGGCCACAGCTGCGGTAGAAGAGTCGCATGTTCCCTCGCTTGGCCTTGGGAGGCTATGGGCGCACCCAAAGCTTCGAAATCACCTAAACGTTGCAGCCTCAAAGCCGTGAAGATCTAGACCTTTTCAAGGGACACGCTTGCTGTTTCCGGCACCTGTAAGTGAGGGTTTGAATTGATCTACATTCACAACCTAAACCACAAGGTGCAGGAAACATAACACACAAGATTGATTTCGCAGCGGCACCCCTCTTGCCGACACCTGGCACCGTACTCCTTCTTAGGAGATGGGTCTCTGCACGCCAGACCCTTGGCCCTAGACACCACAACAGCAGCAGCAACAAGAACAGCAACACTGACACCTGAGCCGGCTGCAGACAGGTCTGAACTGAGAAGAACGGCGGCTTCTTCCGTCCGCTCGATTCACACTCCAGTTGGTGTTCGAAAGAGTTTCAGGTTGCGGGCCCAACCCATCCAACCTGCCCCTATCAGCTCCGGGCGATGGTGATGAAGGTGATCTTCGGCCTCGGCAAGTAAGGGAAAACAAGAGCTCTTGGACGTGTAGAGCTAGGGGCTTCGACGGTTGAAGGGCCCTTCTTATTCCCTTCAAAGCTCGGCCTATTTCGGCTTAAGTCTTAAGGGAACTTTGAGGGGAAGCTTCGAAGACCAGGGCTTGCAGAATTAAAAGCGACTGCCGAAGGTGCATATGCATGTATGTACATGCGTAGACAGGTACCTATTACTATAACTAGATCTACACTTATAGTTGCATGTATGTGCTATTTACATACTTGCTCGCTCCATGAGCGTTGCGGAAAGAAAAGCGCCCCTGAAAATGCGACAAATCCCAATAAGCGGACACACCCTACACCGTTAAACCCTCTATACCAAAGCCTTTTTAAATGCCTAACCTCCCAAACACTAGCACCATTGAGGCTGCCGTGAAGAGTCAGCCGAGTTCCTGACTCATACGGGGCGTTCGCACAGCTCCCCGTGATCCCTGCCACTCCCTGTCAAGGCTCAGGCCGTGCAGCTTGTGACTGAAGGGTTTTTGGGGTTTAGGGTTTTGAGGTTTCAAGATGGATGGTATGTACGGCCCATGGGCATTTATAAGTAGGGTCATACGTCTCCGAACATGAGCTATAAGCATAGTTATACGGACTCATTCAGGGTTTACAGCTAATGCTGTGGGGGGTGAGGGGGTGATGAAATTTCCGAGATGTGCTTACGAGTCGGAAAAACGTTTTAGGACCAGGGTCTCAGGGGGTTTGGGAATCCAATGTTGAGAGTTGAGACTCTGTCCTGCTGTTAGATTTGAAAATTCTGGTCTTGACTACGTGTGAGATCTTGGTGATGTTAGGGTTTATAGTCTTATAGTACGCAGCGTCTTGTAGGATTCAAGGATATAAGGCTCGCGCTTTTCGGCTTGGTGCGCCAGCAAAGGTCGAGTACGTATGTCGACGTCATCAGGATTCGAGCAATCAGGATTGCTTTTACATCAAAAACCCTGACTCACCTCAACCTGCCGCCCCTGCGAAAACCCTCTGAACCTAACCATTAACCCTCAAAACACACGCTGTAGCAGAAACCCTCAGTCACTGCACACGCTAGACCCCCACCGGAGCAGGACAGTGTGAACGAAGACGACATATAGTCCTTAAGCGACTTGATGTTGCTACTGCCTGCCACGATACTCATCATTGCATTGTGTTGACAGCTCTTGCTGGAGTGTGTGCTGTACGGGACCACAAAACCGGCATAGACCTCAACCGAAACTCTGACCGCAATTAGCCCTATGCCCTCAACGGTATAACCTAACTCCAAGCCCCAAAAATGAACCCTAAACCCTAAACCCCTAAACCCTGAACCCGAATCCTCAACTCCAAACCTCCAGCCCTACTTCAGGCTTATCCTCAACTGACTCTAAGCCCGCTACGCTAAAACCTGAAGCCGCCGAATCCGAACCCTTCAGCCTCAGCCCTAAACCGTCAACCGACTGCAACCCCGAACCTACACCTCCAAGCTCAACTCCAAACACACTCAGCCTCGAGCCCTCATCCCTAAGTCCTCAGACCTAAACTCTAATCCCTAAACCTCAACTCCAAACCGAACCCTCAAACCCAGCAAGCCTAAACCCCGAACCCCTTATCGAGCCTCTATAGGAACGCTTCTAGCCACTCTCAAAGGAAGCCTTGCGGGAAGCCTTAAAGGAACCGACCTCAAGCCTAAAAGCCCCTACCTGGACCCGAAAAGTATGTAGAATAATAGCCTTTTATGGGTATTGGGCCATTATTTTACCTACTTCGGGGGCTTTAGGTAAGGACCCTCAAACCCCCCCCTGTGCCTTCACCGCCTCGAGCTCAGTCGCTGCGACATCCGGCCAGTCTTCCGGGTTTACCTCGCGGCTTCAGGACATCAAGGGCTGGGCTTTTGAGCGACCAGTGCGAAAGAAAAGGGTATAAACTTGCATTTCATGATGGTTCCTTTAAAGAAAGTATTAAAGTATGGTACTCCAAAGCTCAGGGGATTTAACAGTTTGTGGAATTTAGGATTTAGGGCTTAGGGGTTGGGATTTAGGGTTCAAGGACATAAGGGAAAGACAAGTGAGCCGGGAGTTCAGGGTTTGAGGACGCAAGAGCTGCAAGCATTTAGGGAGTTTAGGGCTTAAGGATTGGTGCTATGAATAGGGTCTAGGGTTTATAGGGCTTAGGATGTTAGGGTTCGGAGTTCAGGGCTTCAGGGGCTAAGGGTGTGAGAGTGAAATAAAGGTTGTTCTGATAAGGGGCCCAAAGAGAAATCCACAAAGGTTCTGTAAGCTAAGGGCCTTAAATTATAGTATCCTTAAGGGAGGGGGCTCCAAGGGGGGTACATAGCCTAGTGATCCCTACTTCTCCCTAATACTCCCTAAGGTTCCCTTACAGTCCCCTAAGGATTCCTTGTACCCTCCCCCCTTGAACCACCCTCCCTTAAGGATACTATAATTAAATGACGGTGGAGTCCCTCTCATCCTATCCAGGTTGCATTCCCAGGACTGTACCGCAACTAAACCCACCCCTAAACCTTAAGCTGTACACGTTGACATCCTGAACCTTTGAATTGCAAGTAAGTGGAAGCTAACAAAGGTCACGCTTCACGGTCTTCGAAACTCTAGAAACTCGGAGTTTGAGCTTACTGGGCTTGGGTGCAAAGCACTGTCTACCTGAACCCCATAAACCCTACCGTTTTAAGGCTCCTTATTTGTATGAGTCCTGCATAGGTTATTTGGCAGCAACCATGGGGAGCCCGGCCGACGCCCTGTACACGATGATGTTCTCAGGGAGAATGCTGTCGTTGCAGCCTGCAGCGACAATGGGTTTAGGGTTAAGGGCTTAAGGTTTAGGGTTTAGGAAGATTGGCTAAAGGGTTTAGGGTTTAGAATTATGGGCTTAAGGTTTAAGGTTTAGGGAGCTCGTGCTGTGGTTCTGTCCTCGGTTCTCAAGGAGCCAGTTCTCGCCATGTTGAGACCATCTATACAAATACAACACAGATTATACATGATAATATGTATGCTATATATATATATATGTGTGTGTGTGTATGCGTACATATGTATTACATTGAGTAGAGCCTTCAATACCTTCAGCTTCGGAGACTCTAGGCAGAACTTTGTCTACTGAACCCCACCACCTAAAAGCCTTTGCCAAGGCCACCACGTGCGAAGCAAGCGATCGCGTCCCGGAGGAGTCTCTGCAGATGGACTGAGAGGCCTCGGGGGATCTGCACTGAAACTTAGGAACCTGAAGTGGGCCTTTAAAGGGGTCGATCAGGGTTACTCTAAGGGATCCATCAGGGTACTATAATAATGTAGGAACCTGATTAACAAACCTTCGGCCTTTAAAATAAGGCTTCTGATATCAATCCTACCATTTTGGGGCTATAGGTCCAGGGTGTCTTACTCAGGTTCCTACAGTACAGGTTTGGCAATCGCGGCTGTCTCTTTGATGGCTCGGGATCTACGGCTGCAGGGCTACGGTTGGTGGTTGGATCTTGTTTTCTGGCACGTCCCAGAAAAAGGCGAAGTAAGTGCGACCTACGCCCGCCCACTATGTCAGCCGCTGGCCCAAACAATGACTGAAGCTGACATGAAACCAGCGGCAAAGACAACGAACCTCCTCACAGACCCGTGACCCCAAACCTTCATCACAAATCACAAACCCACCCTGAATAGATCCTAACCCCCTTAACCCTACACCCCAAACCTTAAACCCCCTAAACCCGAAACCGAAAACCCTTACCCCCTACAGTAGAAGCCAGAAAGCTGGAATATCATCATCGTAACCCCTTTAAGGTAAATTATAGGGGATCCTACCATTAATCCATATTCCAACTTTCTGGAGTTCCCTTTAAACCCGAATCGCCAACTCACCCGCAAAGGGCGCCCTTTTCTGGGCGATCCGGGCTCGCTCGCCAGGACTCCGGCTCCTGGCGTCGACTTCGAATACAGATAGGGCCAAAATTTTGACCAACTAGACCCAAGAGTACCCTAGGAATAAAAAGGGTGCCCTTTTTGGTTTAAAGGGGCTTGTAAAGAAACCTGAAAACTTAAAAAGGGAATAAGGGCCTACTCTAGGTCCTAGCCAATACTGTTTTGGGGGATCCTTATTATAGCTATAGTATAAACGGCCCTTCTAGGTAGGCTGCAAGTTTTTAGGATTATGGTTTAGGTTACACTAATGCGGAAGCCAGATGATTTACTGAAGACCCCTGTCTTTTCGGATTTAGGGTTTCGAAACAAAGGTGTCTGTTGGAGGTTTAGGGTTAAGGCTTCTTTGGGGTTGTGAGGCTGGGAAAGAGGTTGGTTCTTGTTTCATGTTGAATCTTGCTGACTGTAATTTCTGGGATGGCGGAGGTGCACGTATCTGTACTGGGTTCTCGGTGGGTTTTGTCATGATACGGATCATCGCAATGATACAGCATGCACGGAATCGGCTTACACATGCCCTGCCCATGAGACAGACTTCAGCCTTCGTGCTAGCTCCATAAAGGTACGTGCTCGCGTGATTGCTCGTCTTGCCTTTTTCCTGCCTTAGTATCGCACCCCAAAAAGATCACGATTGTGCAGAAACTTGATCAGCTGCTGCTACGTCTACTGCTACGACTGCGGAGGCGACGGCGACTACCACCACTGCTACTCCCACTGCAACTTCTCAGGCTTGTCCGCTAAAGACTGGACGACGGGCAGCGCCGCGCCTGATGAAAGCCAACCATCCATGCACATTCCCTTCACCATCCCAAAAGCAGCCACCAGGGCTCGCACCCACGCCGGCTCCAAGATCGCGCTTTCGGAAAAGTATTGGGAATCTCAGCTTCACTGCAATGGGTGTTCTCGCGGGGCTTCTTCTTCGTACTTTTTCAGGTTTGGGGGTGGGGAATTCAGATCTTCGGGTCGAGGGCTTCTGGGGGTTTGACGATCCTCAATCTTTGCTGTTGGCTTTCCCAATCTAGGAAGCATAACAGAGCCCTGAACCCAAAACCCCCAAACCTGTAAACCCCAAACCATGCACCCTAAAGCCTAGACCCCAAACACCCTTCAGAGTAACATCGTAGGAAGGAGCCTTGATCTTAACCATTTTCAGCAAAGGGGCAGCTCTTGTCCAGAGTGGCCGTCAATCCCAGCACTTTCATTCCGTCGTAGGCCTCAACAGAACTGGAGGAGTTTATGATATTTATGGTTTAGGGTCTATGGGGTTTAAGTTTGGGAGTCAGAAATCAGGGTTTACGGCCTCAAGGGTTTGTTGGGACTCCTGCTTTGGCAGCTCCACAGCCTCTCGCAGCCACAAGAGTCTCTTTGCTCTGGGGCCTCGGGTTGTATACTTGGAGGTTCATGGGTAGTTATAAGTAAGGCTATAAGTAGGGTAACTATACTTGTAACCCATATTGGGGGGGACTTATAACACCACCTATAACTACCCATGAACCTCCAAGTAGGGCTCTGGAGGTCTCATGTCACAGGTTCATGGAATGGTCGAGCTTAGCACCCATGGTTGCTGGTTCAGGACTTAGGACCTGTTGAACTATGGGGCGTGCCGTGATTCTGGATTTTAAAGCTTAGGACTTCGAGCCAAGGACGTGCTCTTCACTAAAGCGCCTTCGGAAGTCTCTTAATCTGGCAGCCAGCCCTGTGCAAATTCACTGCTTCACGGAGGAGTCTATTGGGCTAGACTACACCGAGGCTTGTCTCTCTCTCTCTCTCTCTGTCTGTCATGGAGTCACGAGCCTAGGCTCGCAGCTCAACACAACAGAAATTCAGCCATTATTGAAGATGCATGCGTACTCATACTCTTCACCCGGCTTTGGGTCGACATATTCAGGGTCGAAGGACAGCTCACTGGTTGCTGCCCATTCGCCTGCTGAGGTTTGTCCCCATCATGCAGGAGCCTGGATAATTAGAATAGGGTTCGTTTAAACGGCTCTTTTAGGGGATACTATACAAGGGTTCTAGGGGACTATAACATGGGGGGCCTTAATTAGAATAGGGTTTGGGGGCCAGTTTTGCTCTAAATATAATAAGGAAGCCCCAAAATTATATGGGCAATTATTAAGGCCCATGAATTATCCTTACATAGCTTAAACCCTCAGCCCAAGATTCTCCCACATCTGGCAGTCACAGCCCCGCTTGTCCCATATGCTTCCGGGCCTGGTAGACGTCCACACCCACAATCATGAATGGCACCTCCCCATGTGTGCAAGGCTCCGTGACTTTCGAAGAAGCCCAAAACAAAATCATCGAACCGTTAACCTCATGGTTTTGCAATGAGACGGACTCCGCCGCCATAGCCTCTTCTCTCATACGTTCTGTTCCGATGCACTAGTACTTAGACCGAGGCCAAGCTTGGGAATAGAGAAACGAACGGGCTGGGTGGCATGCGGGCTTCGGGGCTTGGGCTTGGGATTTAAGGCTTACGTTTTGGGGTTGGGTGTTGGGAGAGCTTGAAGCCTCATGCCTTCCAGGAACCCCATGGGACGGTCCGGAAAATTTAGCATTGCGGCAGGCTTTTCTACTACTGGGCCGTCTCTCAGCAACCATTCGCGGATCTACTTCTGGATCTCCCCAGGGTCTGAGTGAAGGGGAGCCACCCCATGCATTCAGCAGCGTGTGCGGTTTATGGTACCGCCGCGAGCACAAAACCCCACACAACGAGATAACTCGAGCCAGTGAGCCTTCCAAACCCGGCAGCCTAGACCCCATACCTTGAACCCTAAACCCTCATAGAACCCTTTGACGAACGCTTGTAGATCCCTTGTAGGCACTTTTGTAAAAGCACTGAAAGGAAGCTGTAAAGGAACCCGAAGAGCTGCTAAGCTGTTGATGGGTCCTGGCCTTTCGGAACTCCTCAAACTCGGAATCCTGCAACCAAAAGTTGCCGAAGTGCAGGAGTTTTTTCTTCAGTGTAGTAGTTTGGTAAGTTCTGTTGTTGAGCTTGTTCTTACGCGTACGAATACTTTACCCGATTTTAGTGTTCGTTTAGGCGTTGGGTTTTCAAGCTGAGGGCATATTCCCAGGGCTCGGGTTTTGAGGATGAGGTTCTTTGGTGTGACGCCATACAGGCGATAATAGAACTGGCCGTGTGCCATGACATGAAGGCTTTCTTCAGGGAAGCGCATCGCAAGGGGTTTTCTAGAACGCTACATATCCTCCTAAGAACAGTGTTTAAGCATGTATAAGTTTTTAAGCCATATTCCTCAATTGGGCTACACTGCTCCAAATGAACCAGAATCCATGAACAACATTTCTGCCAAGTGGGGCGTACAGCAGCGAACCCAAGAGCAGAATACGCGGCAGCCGTAAGAGGCATCCCCGTTTCGGTGGAGATGGGAAAAGAGCCTCAAGTGCATGACGGCCCCCCACAGCGGTACGGTGCAGCATAGCATTGATCGGTCTCCTGGGAGCACCTTGAACCAAGAGGACCAGCAAGACATAGCAAGGTCATGAGGTCAGTTTCACCAACTAGTGAGTGTATAGTGCGGCAATCGCCTGCAATGCGTTGAACCCGCTCGCGCAGCGTCCAATTGAAAATAGTAGGGGTGGTAGTAGTAGTAGTAGTAGTAGTAGTAGTAGTAGTAGTAGTAGTAGTAGTAGTAGTAGTAGTAGTAGTAGTAGTAATAGTAGTAGCAGTAGTAGTAGTAGTAGTAGTAATAGTAGTAGTAGTAGTAGTAGTAGTAGTAGTAGTAGTAGTAGTAGTAGTAGTGGTAGCAGTAGTGGAGTCGTCGTCGTAGTCGTCGTAGACTATGGCAGCAGAGGCTTTGGCATTCCTGTGTCAGGGACTGCGACTGCCTGAGATGGGGGAACTAATTCTCGAGGTAGCTGCCAGCAACCTGCATCTTCACACTGTTCACGGCATCCCAGTCGACTTCTTCACCTCGTCGAAAGAAGCTTATGTCGACCTCGTCCAGCCGGCTCCGTTTGCCCTCGACCAAATCGTGCGGCTCTTTGCCCAAATGTAATCTGCTAGCTTCGAGCGAGTGTGAAATGTCTTGAAAATATCTTGCAGGATCTCGGCCGCCACCTACCTCCTGGTGCAAGAGCTGGAGATGCAATATGGCACCTTAAACTCTTCCAACAGGAGGAAGCCGGCAACTCGTCGTCTGTCCTCAGCCTATGCTCCGCGACGGGAGACTCGTGTCCGACCAGTCTGTAAAGCATTGGCAGCGCAGCCAGAAGGCACACAAGCATGGAGATCTTCCACACACCATTGAGCGTTTTCGTCAGTCTATTGAGACCATCAGGGCGGCTGTGGCTGGGCACCAGAGCTCGACTGGGCATGTGCGTGGCCTCGCTGTTCAGGAGGACAGGCTTTGTTCAAAAAGGTATTCCAGGGTGTAAACCATATTCTGCGGGGTGTCTACCATCCTGTCGTACATGCCTACCAGGCGAAATCAAATCTGACGTTGAACAACGATGCCTGCAAAACCTGCCCGCGCTGGACATGCGGGAGCTGGTGCACTTCCCCAAACTCTACGAACTTGTGCAGAAGGAGCCGCAGTCGGGGCTGCAGTTCAAGGTGCTCCTCTCACACGCTCGGCACACACTGGTTGGCATAGTGCGGCACTCTCCTCGCAATGCGGCTGGCGTAGAACACTTGTCTATAGGTGTGTGGTATCAGTCGAGGCATTCGAGCGGTGGCGCGGCACCCTCCATAAAGCGCTCCCGTTCAACATGCTGACTGCAGACAAAAATGGGCCCGCTGCCGCAGCCACTATTGTCGATCCGTCTCGTTTCAACAGCTGCATAGCTATCCCGCGAACCTCTGCTGGTGCCGCACAGCACATCCGGCCGCAACATGCGCCCTTCCCGTGCCTATGTCGGTGCTGGGTTTCTGACTGCGCTCATGGGTCATTCGCGAGGACTTGGCACGCAAAGCAAGTAACCTGCTGGAGCAAGCTTGAACCTGCATAACTTGGGCTGTAGTTCGTAACAGTAAGAATAGATGCAGCAGCAACTCTCGACCTTACAGCCTGTGACCCGTAGATTCCTCCGGACCAGGGGGCGCGATGTGCCACAATGGCCCGCAGAACCTGAAACAGCCAGCAACACTTTCGGATTCAGGATTACGGTTTAGGATTCGGGTTGTATGCACCGGTTCTGTTGCGGCTTAGTGCTTCGAAGGGTGCAGATGAAGCATCCGATGTAGTCATGAGAGAACAGGGCCTAAAACGATCCAGCGCTTTTAGCCATCATCAGCATCATCAACGTGCATCAGGATTGTGATCATCATAGTTGCATCATCGTGGTGATCATCAATCACATCACCACCACAATCTCCGCCACCACCGTCTTCCTCAGATATAATTCTGTCTTCATCAACACCAATATTCCAAGGGGCAATGGCTGCACATCATCATCATCATCATCATTATCATCATCATCATCACCGTCATAATAATCCTGGAAGTCAGTAGCCGCTGGTATCCTAACTAAGAGGAAGTAGCAGGCTCCGTTGGCAAGGAAGATACTCGTGGGGTTGTTGAGGTGATGACGAGACACCGGCGCATGCTGCAGCTGCAGTGGCAAAAGGTCCGATAAGGACTGTAAAGAAGCTCACCACCTGATTCGTGGTTCTGAAGCTGTTGTCCCTGTTTGACCTGCGATTGAAACTAACTCTCGAAACTGGCTGAAACGGTCAGAACTTAGAATACCCGTCGCACGCAAGCCGATGCGTAGACACAAGCCCCGAAGCCCTTTTGAGTCAGTCAAACCCTGTAGAGTTGAGCCTTCAATGATATCGGAGTTTCCGAAAATAAAAGGTACCTTATTTCGGGGTGCTAAAAATGAGGACCCTACTATTTAGGGTACTACATTGGGGTCCCCTATTTTTGGAAACCCCCATATGCACCAGCAGTGTGTTGAGTAGGGTGAGGGAGGCCGACGCGGACCGGGGACTCACCGAGGGTGTTGGTGAAGGGCTTTAAGGGTACTCTCAGAGCTTGTCATTAACCACCCACGGATCAATTCGTTGTAACAAGACTTTCTGGAGATTTTTTTGTATATAAATTTTTTTATATACATATGTACATTACACATGCACATGCACATGCACATATACATATACATGTACATATACATATACATATACATATACATATACATATACATATACATATACATGTACATGTACATGTACATATACATATACATATACGTATACATACACATAGACATATACATATACATATACATACACATATACATATACATATACATGTACATATACATATGTATATATGTATATATGTATATATGTATATATGTATATATGTATATATGTATATATGTATATATGTATATATGTTTATATGTGTATATATGTACATACACGCACAAAGAACACATACATCACATTACATCACATCACATCACATACATTCATTTATTCATTCATTACTTACATTACATTACATACGTACGTAAATGCATACATCCATGAATGCATCCATACATCAGTACATACATCTGGTATTGCTTTATGAGGTTTATGACCTATATATATATATATATATACAGGGACAACCCAAAAGTCACTGTTCGAAGATCCCCATTACTACGGTTTTGGGTTGTCCTAGGCGTTTTTGGGAATGGGGCTTGGGGTATTCCACCCCCCAAGCCATACCCTAAACCAATAGTGTGCTAGCCCAAGACCCTAAATCCCAAAACCCTGAATTCTTGAACAGGAAAGCCCTGAAACCCGAACCCAGAGACTCCGCAACCTGTTAGTTCAGGATTCATACTATAAATCCGAGTCCGCGGCTTCGCATTCATCTGCAAGACCAAACGACCTGGTGAACGAAAGTTGTTCGGACTCTAGATCCTGAACCACAGTTCTTGGAGGTTCATGAGAGTTATTAGTAAGGTAACTATACTGATAACTACAATGAACCTCCAAGTTTAAGATCTAAGGTCTACCTTGAGCTGCAAAATAACGTATCTTTTTGAGGTCTCATATGAGGACATCATGGTCCGGAGCCCTAAAAAGGTAGGTTCTTCAGGATCCAGGTAGGGCGTAGAACGGTTGATGATATAAATCGTGCATTAACCAAAATAAGGAATACACCATGATTCCCATAGCGTAGGGTCCTTAAGGTAATGCAGGATTTATATCGTCAACCGAAGTACCAAAGACATTGGAGGTTCGCTTTCTTGTTTTGAGGGGGCTGGGGCGCCCTGGCGGTTTGTACGGTGCTTGATTCGGCCTTGCATTTGGGATTGAAGCTGAATGTAGGGTTTAACTTAAGCATTTCCTAAAGGCAGACCGACACATGCTAAAGTAAGCCATCGAAAGTAAATCTTAACAGCGAGCATGTCGGCATCCAGGATCATGGCCAAGCCTATTGCTTGACTAGATTGCAAGCTTACTCGCTGGGTCGGTTGTCAACATCTTCCGGTGTAGTCCATGAACTCGAGCCAAAGGGATTCAACAACACCCGAAGCCCCGTATGCCTATACTATAGCCTCTCCAAAGCATGCTTGTACGGATCACAGCCTACACAAGCCCCACGAGAGCTGCGTCACAGTTGTGCACTGCCGCAAAAGATGTCCACAGAAACCTGCAGACGTCACAAACCCGACCCTCAGATACAGAAATCCTTCGGTACTACACACAAACAGCCCTAAGACCATAAGCGCTGAACCCTTCAAGCCCGTGAACAGAACCAAACATCTGAATTCTGAAGCCTTCAATGTCCAGTCTACCCTAGTTGCTGTTCCTGAAACCTTACTTGCACGTTACAGTACGTACCCAGAACCCAGTAATATAGGGGCCTCAATACTTTCAATAGGGTTTTTGGGTGAAATTGTACCATAATACAACCCCCAGAATAGTATATATATATATATATATATATATATAGATAGATAATTAATGATAATTATAATAAGGCCCCTATATTATTCAGTATAATGCCATGGCTAGGACCCCGGACTCAGCGTCGCGGCAATGCCATTGCGCTTCCGGATCGTTTCGCTCTTGACCACCTGCGAAATGCCTCTGGCTGCTTGGAGTTTTCGGTCGGATTTTGCTTTCGGGTTCCTTTGGAGGTTCACGCAAGAATCCTATAAGGCGATAAGGTTCTATGAGGATTCATTGGGTTAGAAAGTTTTGGGCCTTAGGATTCAGGGATCTATCGAGGGTTCCGGCTTCGGGGGATTCGGGTGGAGGACTAGAAATGAAGCTGCTGAACAAGGGCGTAGGCCTTCGAGCAAGGTTTGGGAAGTCGTTCGGACAAGCAGAAAAGCCTTAATTTAGCCCCAACGCCTAAAGCTGTGCCCTCAGGTCTTTCCCTTGAAATTGAGATGAGGATGAAGATGACGACGAGGATGAGGAAGAGGGCAAGGTCTCATAGCCGTTCTTCAACTCTTTCTGCACGACTCAGCATAAGACTTGAGCGGAAGGAGTTCCAGATACCGGGCTATGCGGGATCTGTGCAGGGGACCTCATGCCATGCTACCAGTCCTGGCAACTTTGCTCTTTGAAGCTCAACGGCTATAAACTCTTGAACCTAAAATTGGTCAAAGGACTCAGAACTCTTCCTTCATGTCGTGCACTGTTCATCGCCTGACGGCTCACAACGAAAACCTCAAACCCTGAGCGCAAAAATCCGACCCCGAAACTATCCGGAAGCGCAGCGTTGAGGAGTTGGTACTCCGCCAAACTCTGGAACCTCGAGCTCCTGAGCGCCTCACATGGCACCATGCAACAAAGCTTCTGCTTGAAGAGCTGGTAGATCTTCGGATTCTCCTGGCGGAGTCCAAGGCTCAGGGCCCCAGGAGGCTTCGAGAGTTTTGAGGAAGCAGGACCTTCGAGGACAGGTGAAAATTCAATCGTATCGTATTTCTTGATTGGTAGCGGTATCTACGGTTATATATAGATATTGATATTAGTAATAAAGATAGAATTCTGGAACAAGAAAGGAAGGCACGGGTGCAACCCCTTCTCTGTTGTTTTCGCATGTTCACCGTAGTCGTCCTCTGCGACATCGCCATGATCATATGCAACAAGCGGGTGAATGATCCTCGCCTCAAGGTACCAACACAAGAGTAGCAGTGGTGGTGGTGGTGGTGGTGGTGGTGGTGGTGGTGGTGGTGGTGGTGGTGGTGGTGGTGGTGGTGGTGGTGGTGGTGGTGGTGGTGGTGGTGGTGGTGGTGGTGGTGGTGGTGAAGGTGGTAAAGGTGGTGGGGTGGTAATTAGCAGCAGTGGTTTCGATAAACAAAACCTGCAAAACCTCCATAATCCGAGTCTCGGCCTTCGAAACACCAGTAAAGCATCACGGTCTTCGGCCTTAAGCCCTTCGTTAAAGCATGCACCGTCGATCGACTGAAGCTGTGGAAAGAGATGCGAACACGTTCGGTCGAGAGCACTTCGGACTAAAGAGGGCCATGCAAGCAAACAATCAAACGGAATAGACCCGGCAAGCCTAACATTTAAAGCCGCGACATACTTGTGGAGGTGCAGCACCAATAGAAACTGAAGATCAACTGGTGCGCGAAGTCCTTCGTGATGAGCATGACGAGCTGGGTGTTCTCCTTGACGTTCTCTTGCAAGATCTGACAGGAACATCTGGGAGCTTCTCTGTATTGCTTGAGGGATGCCGGGAGGGAGAAAGTAGACTGTGCGTCGCGACTTACGAGTGCGTCATAAAAAGGATGACTTCGATTACGGTCACAACCTAGGGCGCTTGGCGCGACTGCTTTGCAGTAGGGTTCAAGCCTGCTGAGCCTGCGAGAGCTCAATCCTGAAGTTTTGCTCCTGGGCCTGGGAACCGGGCACGAAGCCCGGCTTAGGCTTGGGGCCCCCAGCCTCATTCTAGATTTTAGAAGTTCAGATTTTAAGTTGCCCAGCCTTTCGAGCTCACTCGTTGTGGTGGTAGTGGTAGCGGTTCGTCGTCGTCATTGTCGTAGTTGCAATCCTGGTCGTCGCCCTCCTCCTCTTCGTCGTCGGTGCGTAGTCGCAGCGGTGCGACTTTCAGAAATTTTCCAGGCCACAAAGAGTATGCCTTGAGCCACAGACCATGAACTTTCCAGACCTGAACAAACACAGTGGCAGCCCCCTCCTACGAGATGTTATGCTATGAGGATCCGAGGATATACCGTGATCCCTTCAGGCCCTGAGATGCTCTGCCACCAAAAAGCGCGCCCTTCTATGCGATGCGGACCCAGTGAAGTCAATCTCACCATGTCAACAATCCCGTTACTGTGACCTACCAGAAGCTCCCGTATTGTACGGCCTTAATGTGTGCTCTTAGAACACCTCGAGGCAATTCAACACAAATCGCTCTGGTAGTTCTGGTACGTTCATGTAGGTACACCGGGAATGCCACAGATGTGCCGAAGGCCTCTGAGAGGCCGGTGTACTGATCGTTGCACTCCACCTCTCAAAGGGTTTCGGCCCCCTAAACCCTAAGCCGTAAACTCTAAACCCTAAAGACAAGCTCAAGGTTTCGGGTTCGCGTTGTAGGGTTCAAGTTTTGGGGTTCAGGATGTATGGCTCATAGTGACATTTCACAGATTCTTGTACGCCAACTGCACAAGCTTCTCTCCGAGACCTCGGCCTATTTTAAAAGCAAAAGTTTGCAGATTCTGGTATGGTTTGAGCTTAAAGATGGTAAGGTTTTGGATGGTTTTGGGTTTCTTCTCATCAGGATTACATAGACGGCGTGCAACGCCGCCTAGTAGGGTGCAGAGGGTCTCGGGTCACCTGCTGGTACGACTACGACTACGACTCCGATCGGCTGCGACTACTGCGATTGCTGCTGCTGCCGACTGCGACGACTGGTGCTGGTGCTGCTACGCGACTGTGACTGCGAGTGCTGCTAGCTCTAGCCCTGAAGATCCACTTGGACTTCAGGGTTTAGAATGCTGGTAGGCACGACTTCCCTGTAACGCATGCAAGCATGGATGGTTGGTTGGATGGATGGGCGCATTTATACGCAGATATGTACGCCTGAAAGTCTATACACACCCAGACTGCGACACACAGACAAGACACACAAAAAATCACGAGAGACAAAAGGAGATGTTTGCATACACGTATGCATGCCTAAAGTTACAAACATGTGTATGCAAAAACACAAATATGTAAGTGAGAGAGAGGGGAGGAGAGGAGATGAGAGATTGAAACGTTGTGAGTATCTACTACTGGTGCCCTCATAGTTACCTACACTATTTGGGGGGTTCCGTATTATAAATACAGTATATGAGGCGCCAAAACCCTATTCTAATTATTAAGGCCGCTACATTATAAATCCCTTGTAGTAACCCTTATGGACCCCTTTAAAAGAAAACCTGTTCTAATTATTAAGGCCCCTCTTTTACTTGCCTATCAACTGAGATGGACCCGGCTCCACCTTCTGCGGCTCGGCCACGGACATGCTGAAGGCGCACTGCGCCTGGAGCTGATCTCCCTCTCTCTGTCTTTCTTTGGGTTTTGGCTTTGGAGTTTAGGGTTTCAAGGGTCTTTCTTTGGGTTTGGCTTTGGAGTTTAGGGTTTCAAGGGTCTTTCTTTGGGTTTGGCTTTGAAGGGTCTTTCTTCGGGTTTTGGCTTTGGCGTTTAGGGTTTTCAGGGTTGGGGGCCCGCTCTCTGTCCCTGTCTCTCTCTCGCTCGATGTTCTTTCTCTGGTTGTGGGGCAAACCAGAGGCATGCCACCAGAGATAATGCAGAATTCTGCCGCCCAGACCTCTGAAGCCCAAGTCTTTTTTCGGCCCCCAACTGCCCAACTGCACAGCACCGCTGAGGCGCCTGCTCCGAAATCCCATGCCTCCGTTTTCCCCGGGGAGCGTAGGGCCCCACCTCCCAAACTGCCCCAAGCCTTTAGGGCAGAGCTTCTGAACTTCAGCAGCCCTGTGAAACCCTTGCATGTTATAGAACACCCGAAGCGCATGGACAGCCAAAGATGTACGACTCCCGAAACCCCTACAAGGCCCTAGAATCCCTAAGCTCCAAACTCTAGCACTAAGATGCTTGGGTTGTTCCTTGCTAACTTCATGTCGGGACCTGTGCAGCAAGCCCTCAATAGCAAGGGCTAGCATCGGGCTTTTGGGATTTAGGGTGGGGAGTAGGCTTAGGGCTTATTTGGGATGCGGGACCTTTAGATTAGGATTTTGGGTTAGGGTTTTGGCTTTATGCAGGTGGAAGGAACCAGTGGTTCACGACCTCATGCTTCAGAACTCCAAACGTCGGGTGGCATAGTGGCTCAGGCTTCCGTGCTTTGGTGCCGAAAGTTGGTCGAACCTGCTAGATGTTAGGGGCAGGGCCTTTTGTTTATTTACGGTTTGGGAGACGTCCATGCCCTAAACGCCAAATCCTAGGTCCTCTAAGCCTATCCTGAACACCCTTATGCGGGGAGGTAGCATACATCCCCAAGCCCATAAGTACGGAACACCACAGTCAAAAAGCCATGCATAAACCCTGAACAAGAAGCCCAGCAACTTAGCCGCAGGCAATATCCTTGATCGACTTCAACCAGACTTTCAGCACCTGACAAGCAAGCGATGACGCAGGAGGCCTGAAACTTCAGGGCTAAGAGATTGATTTTGAAGTCTATGGTAGGGTTTAGGCACATTTGGCGTAGTTGCTGCGCTGTTGTTCTGGGATTTAGCCATTCCGCTTCAGGAGTTGGAGGCTCAAGATGGCGTACATACTATATACCATATGTTAGTATAGGGTAGTCAAGTATCGCGTAGATTCGTATGGTACAGTATAGTACAGTATGGCTTCGTGTAGTACAGCACAGTACAGTGTAACATGATATAGTATAACATAGTCTACTTTAGCATAGGATAGTATACTACACTAGTAGTGTATAGTATGCAAAACGGGTACGTGGCACTGCCCGCAAGTCGAAGACTAGCTTGGAAACCCTACATGCAACTTCCGATGAAAGTACAGCTGCTTTGCTTTGCTCTCTCTCTCTCTCTCTCTCTCTCTCTCTCTCTCTCTCTCTCTCTTTTACTCTGTATGACTCTCGTCTCTCTGTCTTTTGTTGCCCGTCGTCCCAGTCGAGTCTGCGATGAGTGCAGCACATCTTCATCCTCGTTCAGATAGATCACGAGCCTTTGCAGGCAGACCATCACCACCATATGGGTGGTTGTCAAATGTTTGGGTCCTTATCATAATACGGCACCTAATATCTAGGGTACCCAAAAAGGGACCATAATTTTGACAACTACCCAAAAATCACGATCGTAAAACAAGGGTCTCGAGTTCAGGGTCAAGGCCTAATTGTTGGGCTCTGCAGGACTTCAGGACTGTGCAGTTCTAGCAATCCGGGCTTCCGGCTTTCAAATTGTAGGGTGACGAAGCAACAGGGAAGCAGAACATCTCCAAACGTACTATGTGCCACTACGGTGCGGTGTTTACGGTTTAGGTCGAGTGCGGTGTTTACGGTTTAGGTCGAGCTATACTTTCCAGAGTCTGCTGCTGTCAACTCACTGCTGCTAACATGTAGGGAACAATAAGGCCTTACAACCGCAAAGCACTGGCTGGTTCGGGAATCTTAACGTTCAACATTGTCCGCTGCAGCTCTCTGTAGGCTTTCTGCTACATAACCAACTGCTCCACCAGATCCAGCAGTAGAATCTGCAGAAATGCAACTCTACACATTTGCTGCTTATCTGTACACATATAGGTATATATGTATATATTCTACTTATTTTTGTAGATGTTGATATTTATACATATGTACAAACTATCTATATGCATATGCTACATGTACATGCTATATATGTATATGCGAGTGTGTGTGTGTGTGTGTAAGTGTAAGTGTATACATATATATATATATATACACACATGTACACAGGCATATACATATACTAGTGTGTGTGTATATATATATACATATATATATATATATATTATACTATATGAACATATGTCTACATAAACATGCAAGCACTACAGCCACTCAGCCCAGGACCAATGATCGATCTTGATTGGGACCCTGCCATGGCTGCCATGCAAACGGTTCGGCGCTTTCGACACTAAGGCCGCGGCCAAAAAGCCCTAAATCCGATAAACCTTGGGCACCAAAATCTAGCCCAACCTGATCTTCAGAGCTGATGGCTGTAGACTTCACTCAAAAAGGAAGGCCTTCATGATCGCATCTTCCCCCCCGGAATCACATCCCGATTCCCTCTTAACTAAAGGATTGATTGGAACATCGACGGGGCTTGCAAGACTCCGGTGTCGGTTTAGGGCTCCTACACTTAAGAGCTTAAAGCTTAATATAGGGGCCTCGAGGGCTTTTGGGTCCATATGGTCCATTATGCTATAAATATAGTAAGGAGCCCCCTAAATAGCAGAGTTAATTATCTCGGCCCCTATGTTAGCTTTCCTGGACCTTGAGCCCGGTTCGGGGTTCCATGTCGTGGCCTCAATGGGTCTCCAACGTAGCTCCTCTTTTCTGGGTCTTCTGCGTGGAAAGGACGAAGAAGAGTCCTCTTCTCTGGGATCCCTATGAATTGTGAAACGTTTATGATTCGGAGACCTAAGCTATTAACCTCCTTTCTTAGGGGTCCCTATGAATTTTAGCACGATTGGGAGACCTAAACTATGATATTAACTTTGGTTAGCCAGTGGCCAGAGTAAGAATCCGAGCAAATCAACCAAAAAGGAACTACCGACAATAGTGAGTGCAGGTCTACGCCAAGCCCTTGCCCTAAGACTTGAACCAGAAACCATAGAGCCCAAATTCCAGGCAAAGGTGAAGGTAGTTCCCTGACAACAATCAAAGGGGAAAAGGAGGGACCCTTAATGGGGACCCCCACCCTATAATGGGCTATATAATGGCTATATATTAAGGGTATAATACCTAGGGGTCCTTATCAAGGGTCCCTCCTTTTACCCTTGGAAACAAGGACTACAATCTGCCTTTGAGGATTCTATTGCTACTGTCCCGACGGAATGGATGGTTCCACATGAAAGCCCTGAACAAAGCCAGTCTATAAAGAAAACGCATCCTGATGCTAAAGTTGACACCAATGTCACTTACACCGACAGAAACCAGAAAACATGGCATTGCTTCAAATTTGTCAGGTTAAGGTGGTAGGGTTTGGGTTTCGGGCGCTGGAGCTTTAGGCCTTTGATTTTGGAGGTCTATATACCATTTAGGGCTCCGCGAGTTAGGGCTTTCGGGCCGTTGGGTTTAGGGTAGAAGCATGGCTCATGCAAGACGCGACGGGAGAGCTGGATGGTGTGCCGAAGATATTTCGTGAAGTTGCCTGGGCTCTGAGCGGGGCCGGAACAACAGGAGGAAACCTGAGATTTCCTGCCAAAACCCTGAAGCCGAAGTTACTCTGAACTCTTTGCCCTCGAATGCTAGAATCCGAGAAAGCCCGAAATCTTAGCTTTCCATGAAAGGACAAGCCCCTCACTCCCAGACGCAAATCCCACTCTAGGGCCGAATGATGTGGGATCGGTTCTGCCTCATCTGCATGAGCGGTTTGGGGTTTCGGGCTTTAGGGTTTCTGATTTGAGTTTGTGGTTTCGGGCTTAGGGTTCAGTGCTGATTTGGGGAAATGTATAATTCAGCATGAGGGTGTCTGCAAAATGCATGGAGGGGAGGCCGGAGGGTTTTTTCAGATAGGGTTTAGGCCTGAACAGTTACAAAGACTGTGAAGCTGTGCAGCATGCAACCCATCTGTTTGACCCTTGCATCTTCAGTCAATGAAGCCTCCTCCGCCACCCCACACCACGCACATCTCCAACTCTTATACCCTAAACCCATACATCTAAACCCTAAAAGGCAGCTGGGTTGCCCTCTTCGATCGTGTAGTTCTTCTCCTTGAAACAAACCTGGTTGTGGGTTTGCGGCCTACGATTTAGGATGGTTTAGGGTTGAGAACTTGATGAGATTCGGATCAGGAATCGGGGCGAATCTTGCAACAAATTCTGCCCGAGCTTCGTTTTTCTTTCTTAATAGCAGTGTAAGCCTGCACTCTATAAACATATGAGGATTCAAAAATAGATTAGATTAGACAGGTACATGGACAGATAGATAGATCGAGACAGGTAGATGCATCACGAACCAGGTAGGTAAACAGAGAGAGAACTCGAGATAGAGACAGATATAGAGAGAGATGGAGATAGAGACAGACAGGGATGGATGGACGGACGGACGGATAGATGGATAATGGGTAGCTAGGCAGATGAAACGACAGACAGATAGACAGATAGATGGACGGATAGATGGCAGGTAGACAGGTAGATAGGTAGACAGGTAGATAGGAAAATAGCCAGCGGGATAGACAGATCAGATAGACAAAGAGACAAATTGGTAGAGACAAAGCAAAACAGATGGATAGATAGATGGGTGGATAGATTGCCAGATAGATACAGACAGACATAAACATGTATGAACACACATACTCACTTATCTACTATATACGCACCTAAACAGTTATGTACGCATGTATACACATGTAACTGTATGTGTGTGTACATATATGTACATATTTGTATGGGTGGTTGTCATTCCTATGGTCCCTTTTTTGGGTCCTTAATATAATACGGCACCTGATATTAGGGTACCCAAAAAGGGACCCTAATTTTGACCACCCATATATATCCGTACATACATAAAGACAGACATATCACTCTCGTTTGCAATCTCCACAGAGACCCTATATTCGGGCCCCAAACCCCATACAAATGCATATCACATACTTATGTCATGTTGGGTCCCTAATCTACAGGCGCACTTTGACCGAGCACTCGCAGGGCCTGAAGCGGATCAAGCACTCGTCCTTGCACCTGCGACAGAACCCAACACACACACACACACACAAAAAAAAAAAAAACTTAAGATGTAGTTAGGGAGTAATATAGGGGCCATATTAATAGTGTCACTACGACAGTTACAATAAAGAACCCCCGAAAACCCTGGGTTCAGGGTTTAGGGCTTAGGGTTTAGGGCCGAGGATGTAGCCACCTAGACCTCCACTCAGCACCCTCAAACTCCAACCTGGTGAGCGGCAGTTCTACTTCATAGGCGAAAAACCGTTGACCCGAACGCATCGTTTAGTTGTTGCTGGTGTTATGAGTCAAAAGCCATTCTCGTTGTGGGCTGAAGACTGTCAGTAGAAGTCATAAGTAGCAATGAGGTTCTAGGGCATCTAGAGTTCTGGGCTGCGGAGCTACATGTCCAAACCGGGGGGTTTTCGGCAACTAGGGCCGGGCTCCAGAGGCTTGGTGCTCAGAGGTTTCAGGCTCATCGGTACCACGGAGCATTCAGGCTGCCCATCGCAAGGTCAGGTCATGATTCGACAGCTTTTTTTAATGGACCCTTTTCCAACAAAAGAATTCCTGAGTCGACAGCTTTCAGGTTGAGGGTTTAGGATAGTTTACGGCTTAGGGTTTAGGGCAGTCTAGGCTTTGGCGCAAGTCTGGGGTCCTTGCAGCCCTGAAGCACAAAACCCAAACGACTCGTCGATTGCATGGGTCCAGAAATCTGGGTCAATCTCGGAAACCCCAGGTGCTCCAAGCCCTGACATCGCAGTGCCACGAACAGCCTCATTCCTAGACCACACCCAAAAATCCGTTAAAAACCCCCCCGCTTTCTACGGCGCAAAGCCCCTTAAGCTCCCTACATCTCGAACCCCTTGGCTCAGAAGCCTGAGCTCCAACACCCCAAAACTGTCCAAGCCCCCGGCACCCAAAAAAAACCTAAAATCCCGATCTCCTATATGTGGGTGTTCGTCAAAATTAGGGTCCCTTTTTTTTGGGGGGGTGGTCCCTAATATACTACGGCAACGAATATCTAGAGTAACCCAAAAAAGGTAGCATAAGGTTGACACCTCCTATGTAACTTTTTGCCACTTGGAGGTTCATGGGTAGTTATAAGTAGGGTTATAAGTCCCCTAATATGGGTTAAGTATAGTTACCCTACTTATAACCCTACATATAACCACCCATGAACCTCCAAGCAGGCCCTAAACCCTATACCCTTATAGAACCCCTATAGATCCCTCTAAAGGGACCCTTAAAGGACCCCTTACAACTAACTACCCATGAATCTCCAAACACTGCCCCGGCCTCAAGAGGATCCTTCTCCAGGCTGCACCCCCAGGCCTTTGCAGCACAGCGGCCCAGAGCTTTGAGGTTAGGGTTTATCCAAGGGTAATTTGAGGGACCCTTGATAAGGACCCCTAGGTATATACCCTTAATATAGCTGATAAGGTCCCCATTAAGGGTCCCTCCTTTTCCCCTTCGAGTTTAGGGTTTAGGGTTTCTGAGGGTTGGGGTGCCTGGGTTTTGGAGTCTGTTTGGGCTTTGGGGCACGTGGGCTTTCTATTCGAGACGGTGGTTTTGGGGCAGTTCTGGTGTGTCGGTGGGTTACGGGTCCCAGGACGTAAGGATTTCGGACTGACTTGATAACTTTGGTCATCCTCCGAGGGTTGCTTATGGAATCGCGTGGCTGTGGGTAATGATTAATGACTCCCAGAAAAGCACAAATTGTGCACCCTGACACGAGTGCCGCCAGACGTCCGAGAACATGCATTGCCTCGTCGGATGGAAGTTGATGTGAGTCAACACTACCATCATGGAGCATATCATGCAGCTAAAGAACAAGCGAAATTGCTCTAAGCCGGCTCTATGTAGCTGACAACATCAGGCTTAACAGAAGAATGGCGGAGTAGATGCAGCTCTAGCCACAGTCACGGACAACCAGCACATCTACTTCTCATCTACCTACACGGGCACCCTCAAACAAAAATCACAACCAAGCGCCGAAAAGACCTTCAGAACGAAACACCGAACGTGGAGCCCAACGCCGAAATCTCAGCAATCACGGTAAAGAATGCGTTAAACCATCAAGCCGCGGATGGTAAACCTGAGCTCCTAAACAAACTTCTGAGCCTGTAACCCTTAACCCTACATGCAAAAAGCCACAGGCCTGGATGGTGCTCACTGCCGGCGTCTGTACCCGCTGCATGTCCTGGTTGACTGCAGGTTCTTCTGGCTTAGGATTTAGACTTCAGGGTGTAGGGCTGTGGATGCAGACGACGGGGTGTGGTGAGTAGTTGCAAGCCACGTGGTGTTTCTGTGGAAGCTAGTGTTGTGGGGCCTTATTCATCAGAATAGCGTTTTGGGGGATCCTTAAAATAGTTATAGTATACTATAACCCCAAACCCTATTCTGGCTATTAAGGCCCCTACGTTACTACTACATCCACCGGCTACGGTTACTTTTCGGACTGGAGCCACAACCCAACAGCCGCCCTCAAGGGCCCGGGCGGCCACACTGCTGAAGATGGAAGTCAGCCTTTCCTGGCTTTGATACGGCTGATGATATAAATCCTGCATTACCCATAATAAGGAATGTATCATTGTTCCCATAGTTCAGGGTCCTTAAAGTAATGCAGGACTTATATCATCAACAGTACGGATTTTCAAACTTGGATCTGCAGCAGGTCTTTTACGAAAAGGTCTTGTGGAGATACTGTCGTGGTTTGAGGTCTTTGAGTTTGGGGCCTGCAAGGGTTCTTGGAGTTTAGGTTCCAGGGTCTTTCATGGCTTTGGGGCCGGAGCTTAGGCCGAAACCCTGCCATGGGTTTGGCACTTCTACTCCTGTGCACATGGGCTGAGAAATATATTTAGGGTTTCGGGTTTAGGGTTTAGAATTTCGGGTTTCGGGTTTAGGGTTTAGGGTGCTATTTAGGCTATTTTTGGGCGTCTATGATATTCAGCTTGCAACCCGGAGCCCGACCCCAATGGGAGTTTCCGAAGATAAGGGACCCACCCTAATATAGCACCCTAGATAGTAGGATGATCCTTGTTAAGAGGATCCCAAGCTACTCCTAATTTTCGGAAACTTCCAAATCTCGTGTCAAGGATCCTGAGCTCCTTTAATCCCTGCACACCTTACACCCAACACCCCAAAGTTCCAAAACCCCAAATACGCTCAAAACCCTAAAACCTTGAAACCATAAACCCTCAACGCCTGTGTAATTTTGAGCTACTCATAACCCTACAACCCGAAACCCTAAACCTTAAACCCTCAACACCCCCTTATCGTTTAGAGCTTCCGGGAAGCGCCTGTGGCTGCACCTTCAACTGCTTAAGCACGTCCGTGAGCACCTGCTTCTCCTGCCGCTCTCCGCATTCAGGGAACTCGCACGGACTTCTATGAGAGCTTGAAGGCATGATTCAATAGCTTTCAGGTGTGATTCAATGGGGTTTCCTACATTTGCAAAACAAAGAACTCGGGTTTCCAGTTGCAGGAGCGGAAGTTGGGCTTTGAAGTGTATATTGCCGTAAACTCAAACACGTGCTTTTGCCAGTTTCGATGCCAAGTGCGACTTGTTTCATCAGAATTTTGTAACCTCTAAACACATTGAACTCATAGAATCCTATTGAATCTTATGGCCTGCAGTAATAGTATCCCACACCGTGCTCTGGTGAGCGCACACGAACAGAAACCTAATCAGTCGATTCGACACTCTGAACTAGAATCTGCAAACCTCCAAACCCCAAAGACGGCTACATCCTCAACCAAAATACCTGAACCTTAATGCTCGAAATTTTTTCGAACCTACACTTGCAATCCTGTAACCTTACATCCTGAACCTTGCCCGTCGCGTAGCCTTGCGCATGTCCTCCGTGATCCCTGGCTGTCCAAGCTGCTCTAACCCGGGCTTGGGGGCTTTTGCCAAAAGGGCTCGGGGCTTGAGATTTAATGGGTGGTGGCCAAAATTATGGTCCCTTTTTGGGTCCTTGCTATAATACAGCACCTAATAATTCGGGTACCCAAACAGGGACCATGAGTTTGACAACCACCCAAATATGGGCTCCAGGTTGTATAGTTCAAAGTGTAGGACCTTTAGGACTACAGGTCTCCCCCAGGGTTAGGGGTTTAGGGTTTCCCTAAACCTTAAATCCTAAACCCCTAAACCCTAAACCCGTAGTTTCCGGCCCCAATTTCTGTCGTGACACAGTCTGATGGATGATGTAGGTTGGCTGTTTCGTCTCCCAGAAATGAGACCCTAAACTAAACTAAGACATGACTCCGGGACCCCTAAACCCTAAACCCTACACCCTAAACCCAATTCATGACTCCGGGACTGGTTTCAGCGCACATCCGGTCTCCCAGTGCAGGACGAGTCGGGAATCGGGCTTGACATGGGATCCCCGGCTCTTTGATACATCTTAGAAGGGGCCCCCACCCTGTAATTTTAGGGTTTAGGGTTAAGGGTTTAGGGTTTACGGGTAATTGTGGCATAATAGGAATATAATGGGGCCCTAATATAATCCTTAGAGTCACTATTACAGGGTGGGGGCAGCTCCTAAGATATATATGACAGAGGTCATGCCTGCTTTTTGCCCCGCTCCAACCAGAGTTTGAACCAGCAGAACTGTAGATCTTGCAGGCTTCACACTGTTCGGACTGAAGGTTATGGCATTAGGTATTGAAATGGCGCACATGTTGCTGCTGCAAAAAGATGCCCAAACATACAACAGAAGCTGTGCGGGAAACCGGTCCCAGAATGCACTTCTGCGGATGGCGAACTCAGATTAACAGCGTTGCTTTGATCATGTTTTGGCCCGAGATGCCCAAAAACGGTCTAACCGTCATGGCCGCATGGCCGTAAACCGTGCGAAATGTAACATAGCCCTGACAACCGCTAAGCATCCAACAAAACACTACCCATCTTACTTCAGACCCCGTTCTAGCAACGGAGAGTGACTCTGAACATGGATCACCCGAAGCGATCTGATATACTGTAAGGTAGAAGCCAGAAAATTGGAACGTCATTGAAGTATACAGAAACCCAGCATGAACCAAACTGAATCCAGGTTCCAACTTTCTGGGGATCGCCATAAACGCTAAAGCCATCTGATGCTGTGGCCCAGCAGTCTGCAAGCCGAGGTTGAAAGCTTACTTGGTGAAGCCTGCTCAAGATTTTAACTTACAATTCGTGGGTATGACAATTAGAACCTGGGTTCCTCCTCTCCTTGGCGATGCTGGGATCTACAGTGAGAACCTGCTTTAGTTTGTATTTTTGCGTTTTGTGGCTACCCCGCCCAGAACGATGTTACATAAGACACGCTCACAGTTGCACAAGATTTTTCAGCAGATCGAGGTTCCAACATAACACGCAAGGGATGAAACCCAGCAGAAGCAAATCATGCTTCACCCCTGAGGCATGTCACTGATTTTATGCCACAGACCTGGCTTCAAAAGAAGGCTTCCATCAGTGAGCAAGGTTTTAAGCACGCTGTCATTGGAAGCTGCCAACCCTGCACACGCACAAACAAGCGAAGCTACGTACAGGACTCCAGACAGGCGCAACCGTGGTCGGTAGCTACGATCAGTCACATTACCCGTCCGTGTTCCAATCTCACTGGGCGTTGCTCTTTTGTGCCAAGCTTGGGGATTGCACGTGTGGCTTCAAGTGGAGCGCAGGTAGCAGCATAGCGGCATGGATACTACTTGCACCAACGCCTCTGGCCCTTTCGGGTGGGGGTGCAATATTCCGTCACAGCTCCACTACACTCAATGGGTGCTTGAGGAGTACTCGGGGGCCTCCCTTAAAGCCCGAACTCGTAGTAACCCAAAAAGCTGCCTAACGCCGTCTTCTTCAAGGAGTCAGAACTGTCAACTGGAGCTTCGGTGTCTGATTCTACTTATAAGGGGGTCTCCGAAAATAGGGGACCCTAATCTAGTACCCTAAATTCAGGATCCTTATTATACGGACCCCAAAGTAAGGTACCCCGAATTTTCGGAAACTCCCACATGTCCATAGACATGGACATAGACTGATATAGACGTGGACCTAGACATAGATACAGATGCTGGCAGATACAGACATGGATACAGATGTAAAGTTACAGATATACACACGCGAATGCAGATGCAGATATCGGTATAGATATAGATATAGTTACAGATATATAGATGTGAATGTCGATGCAGGCGTAGATATAGATACAGATACACGTATAGATATCGGTACAGGAATAGCTACGGAGATAGAATAGATGTGAAGACAGGTACAGGTTTTGGTATGTATAGGTATAGATACAGATATAGATAAACATGTAGCTGAAGGAATAGCTATCGCAATCGGTATAGATATTGAAATAAGTATATGTATGAGCGGGCAATAATTCTACATTGCTCTCGGCTTAAACTTTCGCGATCGCTAGGGCTTGGGGGTGCAGCACACATAATTTTTCACCAGGGTCCCAACATACACAAAAACACTGTTCCGGCCCCTGGGATCCCCTCCGAAACAGCTGAAGAACTAAACTACACATCCAGTCGTTGGGATCCCCATTGCCATAGTCCCATCTCGAGTCGAATACCCCGCCGAGCCACTACCCAGAACTGAGCCACGAAACAGCAAAATCCACAACTATACTTGGAGGTTCATGGGTAGTTATAAGTAGGGTTACAAGTAGGGCAACTACACTTATAGCCCCTTATAACACCACTTATAACCACCCATGAATCTCCAAGTGCCCCATATCCCACCTTGGGCCATTGAGGCTTCCATAGTGAGTTCAGGCAAGGCGAAGCTGCGGGATCCTACAAAGCCCTCCGTCAAAAAAGTTGAAGACCTGCTCGGGCAAAAGAAACACCATGCTATACTATGCTAGGCTATGCTATGCTATACTGCTATACCCTTCTATACTCTACTCTACTCTGTTCTGCTATATTACTATATCTATAACTATACTACTGTGCTACTGTACTACTATACTACTATGCTAGTAGACTACACCAACATACTTCTATGCTACTGTCCGACTGTACTACTATCGCACGATGCTACTATACCACTATGAACCTGTAGTACTATACTACTATACTACTATCCGACTATACCACTATCCTGCTGTGCTACAGTACTACTATGCTACTATACTACTATACTACTATACTGTACTATACTACTATACTGCTATACTACTATACTGCTACGCTACTACACAACAAAACTACTATATTACTATACTACTATACTATACTGTACTCTACTATATACTATACTATACTTTTCACTATGCTATACTTTACCTTTGCTTCACTATACTACATATCTATCTATCTATCTATCTATCTATCTATCTATATATATATATATATATATTATAGTGTGACATACCAGACCTACTGTCATACACTGCAATATACTGCAACATAGCCGAAATATACGATCATAAACCATAACACGTTATGGTATACTGCAATATACTATGATATCCTAAAAACTAACCCCGCCGAGATGCCTACTTGGCGGGGGACTGCCCCATCTCGGTTTTGGCAGAGGTCGGAGACAGTTTACCGTTTTAGGGTTTAGGGTTTAAGGTTAAGGGTTGAGGGTTTGGGGTTGTCAAAAGAGTAGCCAAACACGCCGTACAGGTCCTGACACGATCTCGCAGTTTCCACTCAAGACCTCCGTTTTAAATCAAACGACCACAGACCACCCTCAAACCCGAAACGCTCAAGCCCGTGGCCCTTATAGCCCTGAACCCTTAAGCCCAAAGCCCTTAAACCCCTAGCGCTTACCCCTAAACCTACTTGTCGGGTATCATGGGGAACTAAAGGTTAACCGTTTTGGTTGTATAGGGATTATATAGGGACTATACTACCCAAAAAAGGTGAAAGGTTTCCTACTCGACTACTAGGAAGGACCCCTATATTGCAGTACCCTTATAGTTCCCTTATAGACCCCCTTTAAGGGAGCCCTATTCTCATTAGCTCGAAATCCCAGAACCGGGATCTGCTCCACCTGTCGGAGAGCACAGCTCCGGGAGCAGGAAGACCTGTTCGGTTTCCTGGCAGATGTGTTGACGCTTGAGTGACTAAGGGTTTAGGGGTTTAGGGGTTCGGGGGTTTAGGGTTCAGGGTTTAGGGGGGGTGGGAGTGTTTTGCTGAATGTTCAGGACTTGGGATTGGGGTTTATAGTGTCGGCTTACTTGGAGGTTCATGGCTAGTTATACGTGGGGTTATAAGTCTCCGCACATGAGTTATACTAATAACCCTACTTATGAGCCCAGGCATAGATACCCATGAACCTCCAATTAGGGGCGAATAGTCTAGGGGTTAACTCCGAGTCCGGCGTTTAGGGTTTGGGGTTCGACGGTTCAAGAAGTTGTGTCTTGGGGCGGGCTGTTGAGGGTAGCTTTGAGAGCAAAAGGCATTTCAGGTTCAGGATGCGGAATGTCCCCAAAACCCCAAACCCGAAATCCTAAACCCTGAAGCCCTACAACCTTGCTTTCGATCCGGGGAGGCGAACCTGCAAAAAAAGAACGGTCACAAGCCTCTAATGATTAGCACAGAATCCCGAGCTCAAGGCCTGTCTAGGAGAATGTCATTCGAGAAGCCTCGGTTATATTACATACTATAAGTTAGAAATTACGAATCGTGCAGCTTGCTTTATATATTATATGTTTGTAAATCGTTTCGAGTACTATGTATCCGATATATCAGGAGTTACATACTGTATATTGTATAATCTTTGTTCTAATTTATGTACTGTTCATTAAGTCTCTGCAAGGCTGACAATTTGCCCTTTCTTAGAGGAGTTTGCCCACTGAAGGTATTGAGAGGACGGCAGCATCAGAAGGGCATCTGCACGTACTTTCTCGTTTCTATCCCGTTTCCCCACACCCAAAACCCCAATTCCCAAACCCGAAACCCTACGTCCTAAACCGCAATTCTTCAGCCAATGCCCTGGTCCTTCTCCGGATAAGCTTCAAGCAGTGGCTGGTACTTATTCGCGATCGTCTTGTGATAAAAGGCCTGTCAAAGCAACTGCATAGGCAGGATCTGAAAAGTCGTAGTATCGAAGCCTGAATACTTAACTATAAACGAAAGTTCCGCGATAATTATAAAGTATCACTGGCTCCCAAAGCACCATTCTAACCATTGTTCCTTAAGTTTCCTTATGATGAACTATCATCTACTCCCAAAGCCCCATTGAAAATTCTAGATACAAAGCCCCCTGTATTACTTAACTTGCGTTATCGACTCTCAGGTCGAGGTCGTAGTCTTCCAGGAACACGGGGTCTTAGGCTTTCAGGGGGGATCTGAAAGTATAGGGTTTAGGGTTTAGGGAGTTTAGGATACAGGCAAGTCCGCCGGAAAGATGCGCAGCACATCCCTACCAGTAGCACGAAGAAGGCCATGTGGTTACTCAGACGGAATCCTTGTCCGCAGTTGCGTACGCGATCAAGGCTGACATGACGGATGCTCCTGACTGAATGTCGGTTCTCTGTAGGTCGAGGCATCAAATGCGCCAGTGCAAAGGGTTAACGGCGCAAACTTCCCTTGGGCAAAGGATTTTGAAGTAGAGGAATAACTAACGTTTCGGATTGCAGGAAATCTGTGCCATCGCCTCGTAGTACTTCGCGAAGCTAATCTCCATGTGCTCCTTCTGATCCCGCTGGTACATCATGAACCTTGATTGGTGCAGTTGTCACCACCACTACCATCAATAACTCATTGACATGCAGTCGTCGCCAAGTTTCAGGGACTCACTTACAGCTTCCTCAGGCAGTGTTTGTGTGGATGTAATCACCCAGAGAGCCCAATACACCTTAATTAAGGAATATAGCTTAACTCATTAGGGGCTTCAAATTATGATTTAAGCTATATTCCTTAATTAAGGGGTATTGGGCTCTCTGGGTAGCGCTCTTCGACACAAGCCGACGATCCCCTCACAACAGCGAATTGAGGCCCGCACGTGTGCGAAGGATCCTTGTCAAAGTGCACCTGCTTGATCCTCAGGCATCTTCTCCGGTATACTACAGTATAATATACGGCAATATCATATCATATCATGTAACTACTATAGTAGAATGTGCGCTTGAACTCCGTCCGTTAGGTTTCGGTGCAATTTCTAGGACGGTCAACACTGTTACCCGCTTGAGTCCCCAGTCGCCCGGCCGCCCTACTTGGAAGGGCACGGGACTTAGTAAGTAGGTTCTAAGTAGGGGTATAATTAGGGTAACTCCATTTAGGGTACTTATGACTCTACTTATAACCTACTTACTAAGTCCCCTGCCCTTCCAAGTAAACCCCAACACCTCGCCGCAGCGATCTGGCGCAGGTGCTTGCAGGTTCATGGGTAGGTATAAGTGGAGTTATAAGTCCCTAAAAATGGGTTATATGTATAGTTGCCCTACTTATCACCTTACTTATAACTACCCATGAACCTCCAAGAATCTGTGAAGGACTTAAATCAGGTGGAGCCTTGTGCGGGAATGGACCCTGAGTTACTCTTAAACTCGACACACGAATGCGGCCAAAGCGCTCGGAAAGTTTAGTACCCCATGCTTCTCTTCCACAGATACAATCAACCCTCGATCAAGGAGAAGACCTTAAGATACACATAAGTAGTAGTAGCAGCAGTAGTAGTAGTGGTAGTAGTAGTAGTAGTAGTAGTAGTAGTAGTAGTGGTAGTGGTAGTAGTGGTAGTGGTAGTAGTGGTAGTGGTAGTGGTAGTAGTAGTAGTAGTAGTAGTAGTAGTAGTAGCAGTAGTAGTAGTATGTAGTAGTAGTAGTAAGAGTAGTAGTAGTAGTAGTAGTAGTAGTAGTAGTAGTAGTAGTAGTAGTAGTAGTAGTAGTAGCAGTAGTAGCAGTAGTAGCAGTAGTAGCAGTAGTAGCAGTAGTAGCAGTAGTAGCAGTAGTAGCAGTAGTAGTAGTAGTAGTAGTAGTAGTAGTAGTAGTAGTAGTAGTAGTAGTAGTAGTAGTATGCATCAGAATCAAGGAATGTTTGCTCCCTTGGCTGTCAGGCCTCAGCGTTAGGCTGATCTGAGAGGCAAACCCCAATCCCGAAATCTGAAAGCTGCGTTGGAAACAAAACTCCTAAACCCCAATTAGTATTGGAATACCATTACTCCTATTCTGAATGATGTTCATATTTGTATTTTTAATATCCATATTAGAAGCGAGAGCCCAGCTTAGGGCTTGCCATAATCCCAGGCTCCCTCCCTCAACTGGAAGACCCCCAAAACCGAGGGACAAAGCCCCTGCAACCCAAACCCGATGGGATCCCTTTTGGATGTTCAGCCTTAGCCAGAAAAAAAACAACTCTCCAAGGGTAAAAGGAGGGGCCCTTAAAAAGGAATCCTAGGCATATATCCTTAATATAGCTATTATATGCCCATTATATAGCCCATTATAGGGTAGGGGTCCCCATTAAGGGTCCTTCCTTCTCCCCTTTGAAACTCCTGAAACCCCAAGAACTCCCAGTCCCCCAAAACCCGTAAACCCCGAGCCCCGATCTTGTCCGAGCCCTTGACCGGTAAACCCTGCTGTTGTAGGATGTCACCACGGTAGCGGAGACCTGAAAGTGAGATTCGGTTCGGGGAGAATGTAGGGCCGCGCTGAATTTTTCAGGATTTCGGGCTTAGGATACTGTTCCGAGTTCGGGGGCTTCGGGTTCAGGACTTGGGTGCTTTTTGGTCTCTGTCGGAGGGCTGCATTCGCAGCAATCGCTGGGATTCCACAGTTGTTTTTGGCTTTGGCCTTCCAGTGATGTTGAAAACTCGGTAGAAAGATCGGTGGTGTAAAACTTGAGGGAAAAAGGGTTTTGAGATCAGGCCTTAGTTCTTATATAGAATGGGTATATACTATAATGATCGTCGGACCCCTACATTACCCGTCACATGAACCGCGCAGAAACCAGCAGTGAATACTGAGAGGATTGGGGCTTCAAAAGGGTTGGGATTTACGGTTCATGTCTGCTTCTGGGAGAACGACAACCAACTAGCCCAAAGACCCCAAACACCGTAAGCCTAAAGAACCTCAAACAGCAAACAAGCTAGAGAACGAAAAGCTCTTCAACTGACGACGGTTGCACCTGTCGCCGAAAACCCCTGAGGGCTGACCTGCACTCCACCTCACTCAACACCTGCCTGTTCCCATGAATGTTGCCCCAAATCGATAACATGGTGACGAGTCATACCGGTTGGCCCAACGCTATCCGAGCATTTAAAGAATTGACTTGGACATGTGAGGGATGGAGTTTCGAACTGCCGACCTGGAGGGTCTGTATGGTCAAGCGCGGTTTGACATATTACGGCGTCTCACCCCGAAGAGGAATCTGCCTTGGTACTACTTTATGGCAATTATCTACTTCCTGTCTTACTCTTGAACCTTACGGTGGCAAGGAGAACAGAAGCAATCAACAACGGCAACTGCGACCCTGCTCCATGTTCTGTCCAATTGCCCTTAGTGTACAAGCCTCAGTACTTTCCAATATTCTCCCTTGTAGAAAAAGAGATTATGATTACGCTTGTGTTGAAGACGTCCGTCCCACCGCCGATCTATTCTTCGCCAAGGTGCGCAGCATCGAATCCACTCAGCCGCGACGTCCCGATCCGTCTGGTGGGCCTGAGCGAGATTGGCAGTTTGGGGCTTTTCAAGTTTGAGGAGGTTTGGGGTTGAGAGCACAGGGCTTGAGCTTTAGAGGTGTTTGCATGCAGGGCTTTCAGCGAGGCTAGGTTTTCGGTTTTGTTGCTTGACGTTGCAGGAGACTGTCCAAAATCGTCCTTCCCACAATTCCAGAGCTCGTAGGGTTTAGAGCTGGTTGTAGCGTTAACAGTAGGGCTATGTGGGTGGTTGTCAAAATTATGGTCCCTTTTTGGGTACCCTAAATATTAGGTGCGGTATTATAATAAGGACCCAAAAAAGAACCCTAATATTGACAACCACCCATGTACAGACCATCCGCAGACAACCCACGGCGCCGTCGACCTGCGAGGCCCCATGATGTAGGTTCGGGCTTTCAAGACTGAATGCAGACTGAGATGCAAAGATGTCGGCGCCTGCCGAGGGGATTATGCTGCTTGCAGCATAGAGCACGTCGCTCAGGGTGATGAAGATATGCAGGACATTGTGTCAAACAGCCCTACCACGCGGAAAACCAAACAAGAACCTCCCCAATTCGCAGAAGAAGCAATGAACAGCAACTGCGCAAGCTAGATTGCTAAGTACCGATCTTCCCAAGCTCCGAGATATTGGATCCTAAACAACGAGTATTTACAACTCTGTCCGAAAGCATAAAGCAAAACCTTGTACTCACCCCACCGCAACCCAGACGTTGTGCGTGTCTGTACACGAAAAAATGCCTATCCGAAGAGCCCATGTACCTCTGCAGTAGGCTTACGGAGCTATGGGCACCAAGTATGGGCGTGTTTATACAAATGTGTATGTATATATATATATATATATATATATATATATATATGTGTGTGTATGTATGTATACATGTTCATATGTATACATGCACATGCCTATGCATAAGTACAACTATAAGCACAACTTTATATAATACATATGTGTTTGTGTGTTGATTTGTTCGTTCTGCTTGTAGATAGATTTGCATATTTATTCTACTGACGGGTGTCTGGCACTTACGTTGAACACTCTCTGCATGCATGCATGTGGACATATATATATATATAGAGAGAGAGAGAGAGAGAGAGAGAGAGAGAGAGAGAGAGAAAGAGGGAAAGAGAGAGAGAGAGAGAGAGAGAGAGAGAGAGAGAGAGAGAGAGAGAGAGAGAGAGAGAGAGAGAGGGAGCGAGGGAGGGAGGGAGGGAGAGACTTGATTCAATTACTATATGGAGGGCGGAGGGTATGTGTATTTGTGTATGTGCGAAGACAGAGAGAGATTTGATTTCAGGATTCTATGGAGGGTTTAAGCTCTCGCATGCACGCAGAGACACCATCGACCTGCCGTGAACCTCGGCCCTGGCCTCTAGATCCGAACGTCACTGGGCTCTGCTATGGCTTCGGGTTAGGGTTTTTGGAGTTTTAGGGTTCAAACAAACTGGGAATACGGTTTAGGGTTTAGGGTTTGATGCAGTTTATCGCCGGAGATAGTGCATCCCAGTTTTGTTGCCGGTCTTGTTAATCATTTTTGCAAATCTCTCCGAACAAAGATAGCTCGGGATCCCCTGAAAGGCTAAACCGACTTGAAAACCCCAAACCCTTCCTTTGAAGCATGCCTAGGACAGACCCGGCACGCGGAAAGGGCTTCTTCCCAAAATCACCGCCCCTTCAAAGGTCTATAAGTGACTGTGCAAGATGCCATCATGAAATGAACACCCCTGTCCTAAATCGCCCTAAACTCCCACATCCCTAATTTTCTATATTGAACCCCCTGAACCCTGATTCCAATTCTTGAGGCCCCTACATCCCCACGTCCGGCCTTCCAGTGACGCTTGCAGAATCTGGACGATGCTTTGCTTGCGGACGGGCCGATCGATCCTGGCTACGCGCACCCACGCACGCGTGACCAAAACCAGCATCACCAAAGAGGGCTTACATTAGAGGCTAAATTATGGGCTATATTATCGTAGGCTTTTTAAAGGCTGTATTATCGTAGGCTTTTCTATAGGATACCTTATAGGCTACAGTATAAGGTTTCGGGTCTAACGCGCAGGGAACTCAATCTGGAGTAGCCTAGGTGCCGTACAAGATTCCATGGCTTAGGAAAGTCTAGGGTCTTTAGGGCTTTAGGGTTTTAGGGTTTTCGGGAGTTCAGGGGGTTTGGGTCTTAGAGTAGGGTGTGTCTGTCAATCCCCCGAGACACCCCAAACCCCAACAAGACGAGGCGAGATAAAGGGTGTAGGCATGGGGACATTTGGCTCTAGACTTGCCTCATGTGCAGCAGCATCGGTGCATGAAAACGACTTGGAAGGTTGCCTGCACTGTGCTGCGATCATCTTGCCGAACAACACGATGAGCAATGCCATCTAGCATCAACTTCGTGCCGACATCTAAGCTCTAAACTCAAAAACCCTCAACCCGCAATCCCGAATGATCCAAGCTTCATGACCCTTAGCAATTCTATCACTTTTCCATGTTTCACTGCCCCAAAACTCAACCTGCAGGACGTGCGAGCAGAGCCTGAAAGGACCCCAACAGATGTCCTAAAAAGGCCTTAGAACGTTGACACCGCATTCTCGGGCAGCCCCGAGGACGAAAAGACCGTAAATCCCATTCTAGGCGCCCTAATAATTTGAATAGGGTTTTTCGGGCCCATGAGACTACAACTACAATAAGAAACCTCCAAAATAGTATTGGCAATTATTTAAGCCCCTATTCAACCGAGCACGGGAGCACATGTCGAGCTGCAGGAGGGGCCCGGCAGAGCTTACCAAACTGCTGACCTGCTTCTTCTTCTGCTACTTCTTCTTCACAGGCTTTAGACCCTCACTGGATAGCGTGTTGGGTTTGAGGGTCCTACGCTTCCTGGGGCTTCAGGTTTACAGGGTGTGGGCGTGGGTTCAAGGCAAAAAACACAACGCTGGACGGCCCGAACAGACGTAAGTCTGAAACCCTACGTTCAACGAGATAACGGCAGCGGCAGTCATCACCATAAGGAGCATCGCCACACTACCACGACTACCACCACAGCAGCAAAGATGGCAACACTGACGTAAACTTTCGGAACAACAGCGACCTGAGCAAAAGCACTTGCCGCATTGCTTTAACACGATTTCATACAACTTGCCAACCTGCCAAATCCAGGGTTACGCAAGCCATTCCCGCTCAGGCATCGTGCTTCTAATGGGTTACCGTTCCCGCTCGATGTGATCAAGTACTCATGAGACCAATCATATATGCAGATATAGTACAGGCCCCAGAGGCAGACACGATGATTCCGCAGTATGCACTCGGTCCAAACAATCCTTTATTGGGAATAGAAAACTCATTGAACCTGAAGTGTAAGACATAGACGGATGATCGGAAGTTCAGAATTTGCTGAAGATTGGGGTTTACATTTAGAAAGTGTGTAATTCAAGACGTCCCAGAGCGTGGGAATGGCTCGTGTGGCGGTTGGGCGACGACTCATTGGCGATTCTCGGCTGCATTGGGCCCCTACATAATCCTCGAACCTTGATTGAACATAGCCCAGCCGAGCCCTACCTAACCTCTAAATCCTGAAGATGCACATCGACTGATAACCAGGTGTGGGGGTATGTATCGGGAGAACAGGGTTTAGAGTTTAGGTGTTGGTGATGAAGAAGGCGAAGCAGAAGTAGGAATTTCATTGTTCTGGTGGAAGCCGCAAAGTTGGAACGTGTCCACAGGAGCAGATTGGCCCCAAGCCACAGGTTCCAAGTTTGATCTTGGAGGCTGAAGTTGGAACATGGTCCGAAACCCGCCAAGGGAAAGGTGGAACCTGTTGTCCGAACCCCAAGCTAGACTTGGAACCTTGCAGTCGCATCGAGCCACCCAGCCAAGGAGGGGGGAAGTATGAGATATGTGTACATATATATATATATATAGAAACTTAAGATGTCCGAAGCCTGGAGTCGCCCCCTTTATTTGCAATTAGGGTTCAGGCTTCAGCCCTGAAGCCCCTCGAAAAGGGCTTTGTTTTGCTTTTTGCTTCCTTTCCTAGACGTATATATAAAAACGACCGCAGTTGCATAAAGCATCATAAATCGATTTCCGTCGGCCCTTTGTCTTTCAACTTTCGATTTCTGGGAAGCATGTCCAGTATTGCAGAGAGACAGGAACTGCAATTACTACGACCGCTCCATTATTGCAGAAAAAGAGAAACTACGTACAACTGCTACGATGGTTCCAGTATTGCAACCAGAAAGAAACTGCAATCATTACGACCGCTCCGTTATTGCAAAGAGCGGGGAACTGCAATCACCACGGCCGTTCCAGTCTTGCAGAGAGAGAGAAAATCTCCAGTATGCAATTTTGCAGAGAGACAGTAATTACTCAGACCCCACGACCATATCGCTAGTCAGTGGTATGACCCCAGGGATCGTCGAAGGACCTGTATCGAACACTCGAGCACTGACGCCTCCCCATGCTTCTGTATATAGGCGTGTTTGTGTTGGCTCAAACCCTCCCTCCCAACCCGCCCCCCGCCCCCCCGGTTCCTAGGGTTGCGGTTTGTGTGTGGGGGTGGTTTCGTTTCAGGGTTTTTTCAGGGTGGTTTAGGACACATCTGCCTAGGTCCCTATATTTTTGGGGAAACCGGGCATAGGGTTTAGGGTGCCTAGCCCCCCAAGTTTTAGGGGAAAGCGGGCACATAGGGTTTAGGGCCCAGCATTTAGTTTATATTTTTTGGGGGTCCCCCAACCAGGGGAAGCTGGGCTTAGGGTTTAGGTTAGTATTATGTTAGGTTGTTTCCCCTCCACACGGTGCCCCCCCACCGCCAAGCATAAGGCCCAACCTTGATGACATCCACACTTGGTTTTCCGGCCGGTCCAGTCAGAATGTTCCAAACTTGAAACATAATGCCAAAATTGGAAGTTGCATGCACTCGCTCATCGAGTGCTGAATGTCAGGGTGCGCATGTTCCAACTTTTTGGCTTCCACTGTAGTAGCATGGGGATAAGATCGATTGTTGATGCCCGGCTTCCATGCAATATATGATGCATTTCGGGGTTTAGGGCTCGGAATTAGGCTAAGTTCGGGTCTAAAGTTACATAATTCACAGGTTTATAGTGAGCAATTAAATTCTGATGTTGCAAACATTCTTTTGCGGAGGCTCGGATTGATAGGGTAGCTCTTTGAGAAACATCCTTCTGGCCGTGCCTAATCAACGACCCAGCCCAAAGAGTTGAAATTACTTAGAGAATTGGGTAATGTATTTAGGTCATGCCAATTGCGCATCGCGGCCCCTTGTTCTCCAAGGCTGTCATTTGCACACCTCGAGAAGTGTGCAACTTAAACTCACTCAACCCTTGCTATCCCGAACCTTTAAGCCGAAGTCCCAAACCTCAAATCCCTGAAGCCTTCTACTACCCCAAACCCTGATATACTGAACACCAAACCTGAAACACTTCAACCCCCAGGCCTTTAGCCTACAAAGATATTGTACTCTTCTAAGTCTTGTCCCGGAAGTGTGTATTGCGCACCCACGACCCAAGATCCCCGGTAATGTAGGAAGCTGCTGGAGCACGCTGGGGCTCCTGTGATATTTAGAAGATCTGAGGGTCCTGATGTTTAATAGTCTCGGGGGCTACTTGCATGGATAGTTCATGCCTGTCTTCACCCGCAGCTCGGGTACTCTTTGCGATGTACTAGTGAGGGTATTGTGATGAATAGGTTGGGTGGCTTAGGTTCTATGCGCTTGGATCGGATGTCCATTATGCAGACTGGCATGGCCACCATGGAAGCTCGGTGTTGCTTGGATGAGCAGTTTCGTAGCACATCACAGATCAGTCTTGCAATCGTCAAGATTATTAGGGGTGGGGGTAGGGGGGCGGTGGGGTAGGGGTTGCTAGGGGATATTGAGTACATCCGTACATCCCATGGCATAAGATACAGCGAAATATAGAATCTATTCACCTCCAGAAATATGCAAGTTCAACCCATCGAACCCTGGCCAGCCATTCGGAACCTTAAAGACAAGGCTGCTTATAGTCTCAGACCTTGTACTATCCTAATACTAAGATTTAAACTTCAGAGCTTCAAAGGTCCAACCCTCAGGCCTTTCGAATTAGCAAGCCGGGTTCACTCCTGTGTGTATATGGCATGCCTCTCTTTTTCTCTCCTTCCTCTGTTCTCCGTGGATTCCGCGATCGGTGCGCTTTGGCTTGTGATATGGGTTTAGGGTTGTATGGTTCTAGTCTGTAGGATAACCTGTGCACCAGGTGCACGCCGGGATCAGCTGGCCACGACAGCCAGGGGGAAGCTCGGTCTCGGTGAGATTCAGGTCGGTTTCGAAACAATCAAGCATGCAATCGTGGGATCCTAAGATGTCATGTCTGTTGATCTAAGGACTCTGGCAATATGTTATGATTGGACACAGTGGCCATTCTCTGCTACGAAAAGACATAAGTAAGTGTGTGTGTGTGTGTGTCTCGGTGCGGTGTCAGGAATGTCAGCATTACAGATCTCGCCGTGCTTGCACTGTTTCGAGTGTCTGCGGTGCTCTGAGCGGTTTTGATAGTCGACTTTGGGTCCCGGACACAGAAGCCAAACCGTGCTGCTCCTCCTGACGGTGGGCTTGGGGCGGATCTACTGCGATCTAAGCTTTGTTTTCTAGTTCAGTGCAGCCATGGTTCAGTTGGGCCACAAGATCAAGAGGACCGAGGAGTCATCTTTCCCTGAATTTGGCATAGAGGGCCCATGAGACTGCATCCCTTGAGCAACCCAGCTCGACTACGCAGGACTGCCTCGGCAAAGTCACTGGGTTCAGTGCCAACCGCCGAGGACGAAGACCCCGCTCGGAACTTTCTGATGTCCACGGCCAGGAAGAGTCTGCAAAGTGCATTCGAGGGTCCCTTGCCAGATTCTCTTGCACAGGTAAACTTTGCAAGTCTTGGGCTGTTCGTGCGCTTTTTCGCAAGTAATTGAAAGAACTCTAGTCCGTATTTCAGTCAACCTAAATCCAAAGGCACCGGTCCGTTGGTTCTCCGAGAGCTAAGTTTTTTGTTCAGCATTCGTAGAGAAAACATTTCTCCAACTGAAGTCATTGCTGGGTTTGGGAGCTATCTCTGGGCCCTGGGTTCTGTTTCAATGCATAGCTACTTGAGTGCCATGTCAGGAACGGTTTCAAGTGATGTCAGTGCTACAGGTTTTTCCTTGCTTCATCTCTTGTTCAGCAGTTGGGAACGAATTGAATCAGCGATCTTGTTTCGTTCCCAAACTTCTCCTAGCAAAGGTGCTGGTGAACCTGAGAAAGACAAGGGCAAGGACAAGAAAGAGAAGAAGCAGTCTAAGAAGGACAAGAAAAAGAAAAAGAAGCAGACCAGTGCTTCGTCCGCAATCACGGTGTTGTCACGAATCTCTGAATTGCCGTGTGACACATCTCCTTGACGATTCCTGATATCAGTATCAGCTTAGGCAGTTCTTCGGATGACGACACAAGTGATAGCAGCGAGTCCGTGCAGTGTGACGACCAAGCAGATGCTTTGTCTGCTTTTGGCCTTTGCAAGAAAGACCTCGTCCGTGGTGAGAACATGTTGCGATGGGATGACTTGAGCTGTCGCCCCTTTGCATATGTCTTGTCGTGCATCACAGAGCAGCTGACAGCCGGAGACGTGTTCGAGCTGGGGGGCGAGCTTGAGCCTCTGCATGCATTTGTCAGACGACTGCCCTGCTTTGTACACTCACCCTCATGTTGAGAAACCCGCAAAGCCTGATGTCTGCAGTCCGGCATTCGCATCAGGAAGGGCTCTTGATCGACAGGGCCGGAGGGGCCAAAAAGAACAAGGACAAAGCAGGGGAAAACCAAGCTCGGTTCGAGGTGGGGTCTTTCGGTTTTTCCAGATCCCATTTAAGTGGCAGTCCTGTTCAGGGCAAAACTGCTGCGACTGTGTGGAAGAGACGAATGTCGGCAGTTGCTTCCCTTCGTGGCTCGGCGAACATTGAGGGCCTTCAGATCCGTAGCGCCTGGAGTTTCAGTGGTGCTGCTGCTGCTGCTGCTGCTGCTGCTGCTGCTGCTGCTGCGGCTGCTGCTGCTGCTGCTGCTGCTGCTGCTGCTGCTGTGCTGCTGCTGCTGCTGCTGCTGCTGCTGCTGCTGCTGCTGCTACTGCTTCGTCGTTTAGTCAGGAGGCTAGTTGTCTGCT